ACAAGACTCAGCAGTGTGACTTTCATGAACAGCGGGACAACTTCCAAGGCGTTATAGGCGTGCAGAAAAAGGAACGCCCTTGATCCACAGATCAAGACGAGCTAGCCATGAAATGACAACATTTGCCGCCACAGGGGTGTTTTGTTTGTTGCAAACTGTGTTTTTGTTCTCAGCGATCCATCACACTGCTCCGGACACTTTTAAACTTTCACAAACTATCCAGCGTTTGTTAAATAAGCTTGAGTAATGACTCACCCAGTCTGGTTTTTGTTATCTATTGTTGGCTATTTTTAAATTTAATTTCTTTATTGTTTCTGGCTGCAAAACTTGTGACAGTGCCAATAATGGAGATCACCATCCATCATCCACTCCCTCCCTCCCTCCCTCAGGATCATCTGCATATCCTTAAAAGCCTGCCGCCAAACAAACTGCTGCATTTCCTTTACAGTGATAAATCCAATCGGGGAGAAAGACTCTAAACGACGTGTCAATCAACTCCCCCACAGCCCCACCCTCATGTTAGCATACAAGCCAGTCCTGATAGATAGAGAGGTCCTAACAGAGATTGAGTGGTTAAATCGCTGCCTTTGTGTATCACGTTAATCTGCCTCACTGGCACAGTGGTTGTTGTTTGTGTGTGTGTGTGTGTGTGTGTGTGTGTGTGTGTGTGAGAGAGAGAGAGAGAAAGAGAGATTAAACAGTATTCACACTGAATACATTTAGCAGCCTCTGAACATCCTCCGTCATTTCAATTGTCCTCACCGTACATACTGTCTGTTGAAAGTTTACCTGCACATAAGGAGCCAGCAGCTAAATGACTTCATTCCAAACTAGAGTTAGTATGTTTTCTTGCATGCTACGTAACACAGTATGTTAATCTGTGGTTTGCTTTGCACTGCACACAGAGACCCAGAATCAGACTCGTCCTCCTTCTACTCCCGGTTCTACCTCGCCCCAGGTTTTCTTAACTTTATTTTGGAATATGTGAGCAAAGTGTCAAGAGCGATGAGGTCAGAGCCTGGACACCAGATATCAACACTGTACATACTCTGTTCTATGTCCATCTACTGTGTTTACATTATCTGCGCTTTGTGAGCTGGTTTACTGAACAAACTTTGAATAACTTTGGGAAAACTGGTGACATGAAAAGTCAAGTTGAATTTTCTTGAAGCGCCGTGAAGAACACAAACTGCACTTTTCCTTTCACACATTTCTCATTACACACTGCAAGAGAGTGAGTTAATCTTCGCCATATTTCGATGCGACTGACGTGTTTATTTGAGGAGCTTTGTTTGCTTTGCTTTTCTGACAATCGTTTACATTACATGTCATTTTTCTGTTTGAATAACTCAGAGTCCTGATAGCTTTGCTGACATCAGAGCATGCTTGTTTGCTCATTGAATCTGATTCGTTCATCCTCGGATGTGTGCCACATTTCCTCCCCCCAGCCACGTGTCCCCATCCCCTGCAATGGCATGCCTGCCAGTTTCTCATATAAATTTAAGTAAAATCAAAGTTAAAATTTTGAGAAAGGCCCATCCTACAAGAAAGGGCCACATGATTACACTATAACGTAATGATGCACGTAAGTGGTGCAAATTTCTTGCTAAATTTATAAGTGATCCAACAAGTTCTCCAAATTAAAATGCATCTTTTGTGACTGCCCTTCAGAACAGCACAGTAGCTTTTTTCTTATTTGATGCTGTATCATCTGGACCAAATTATCATTATATTCATTTCAATAATTGTTACCAATTACCACTGCAAAAATGAAAAACATTTTCTGGTCCCAGCACAACACAGCTTAGGTTTGGTTAGGGGAAGATCGTGGTTTGGGTCTAGAATAAGTACTTGTGTGGGGTTAGGGAAACATTGTAGAATGGGTTAAAATTACAATAACATTACTTTGTTAAGGTTAGAGGACCTTTGTCATCATGGTTATAATAATACCCACATTGACAGGACCACAGGATAAGGACTCACTATGCACAACCCAGAGACAGTGATCAACATCATTTCACTGTTTTGGTAATAGTCCCACATTGTATAAGCCGTGAGTGAGTGAGTGAGTGAGTGAGTGAGTGAGTGAGTGAGTGAATGAGTGAGTGAGTGAGTGAGTGAGGTCACTTCAGATGAAAAATAAATGCTGAGTAATCCTGCCACTGCTAAGAGGGAGCAAGAATTATGACACCCCTCCTCCACCACTCCCCTCCCACCCCCTCCTCTTGCACGACTGGCTGGCTAATAATGGCTCTATTTTGGTCTTCCTGCTGAATCATGCCCCCTGAACGGGTCATCTCTTTCCTCCCTTGATCTCTCCTCGCTTCCTGATTTATCCTTGCTCTCTATCTCTCACACACATACACACATACACACACACACACAGACACACACACACTCCCTCACCCTCTCTTCTTGTCCCCACAAATCCACCCTCCCTCCTGTTTCCTCTCCTACATCTCTGTCTCCCTTTACCTCATCTTACTCACTAATGCATCTCCTCAGCCATGAGAAGTTAATTTTGTGAATGGACAGCAGCGTGCGTCATTAAACCCCTGGAGCAGAACGCTTTTCACAGACCAGACGTCTCTAGCTATTTATAAGCACAACCAAAATACGGGTGAGAGAGCCCTGGGTTTTATTCTAAACATAAATGATGCTCTTTCTACAAAAAAAAGTGTTGCAAAAAAAAATAAAAAATTGGTCCCTTGTCCCTTGTTTTAGACAACAGTGTGTTTGTTCTGTAATTGTGCTGTTCAGGCTACAGTGTAATTAGGATGAAATGGTATTAATCTATGTCTTAACTTTTTGGGGCCCTGCATGAAGGATGCACCTCATTAGAACTGAAAATAGATCCTGTTTTGGTGTCATAAGGACTTCCTTAATTGCTTTGTGTGATGTAAGCATTTGTAAGGCAGGAACAGAAACAGAGTTCAACACTGTTTGCCTCTTTGTCAGGGAAAACGATAACCCATAACTTAACCTGCAGCGTGACTCGCTATTATTCCTCTTCGCCTTCTTTCTTTCTTCTTTTCTTGGCTCCGAGGTACCTGGCACGCTCTCAGCTTTGATCAGAACACACCAAACACAGCTTGTGCCTCAGATGTTTCGGCCTGTAACTACACAGAGCGAGCTCTTCCCTCAAAGCCTCGCTTGAAAATAAAGACACGTCAAAGCTTAGAAGGCGTTCATGACCCATTCCTCAGTCCATCTCTCTGTGGATTAAGTCCATATTCTCATTTGCACTTGAAAGAAAGTAATCCCCACCCCCCTCCTTCTGTCGTGAAATGGACAGAATAAGAAGATGAGAGTTGTCAGCCTTGCTCAAACAGTAGCTCCTCACCAGGATCCTCCATACGAGAGCTGCTGATTGCCACTCTGGTTTTTCACTATCATCCGTGTCTGATGAGAGTCTCGGGTCACAGCAGCTTTGATGTTCTCTCTTACTTTATCGACTTATTCCATTATTCAAAAAAATGTATATTCATCGCATTTAAATGGTGCTCACATTTTAAACCACTCTCTCCCTTATCTGAGCACTGAGAGTGAACAAAAGAGGAGAAAGGGGTTTCTACACTAGTGGAGAGGCAAAACGCACCTCTTGAAAAGAAAGTACTCACTTAGACAGGAGCTGAGATCAATAAGATGATCAGGAGGAATATAGAAATACAAACATAAAACCCACCTTTCAAAGTGTGCAGTAAGTCATGCTTAAATTCATATTCAGCAACCAAACCAACCTAAAATTTATAAAGAGGAAACAAATAGTTTTTCTGCCTAATGTCCCATCATTATAATCGCTACGATATATTAGCTCTCCACATATGCTAATGAGGTCATTAAGTAATGAAAGTACATTAATTAAATGTTAATATTAAGTGATAATATATCGGAAGTCAAATCAGCCTCTTGTCATATAATAACTGGGTATGAATACGTGGTGTCCGCAGGTTGTTTCTGCCAAAGTCTTTACCGCGGCAGGTCGGGTTCATGTCATCCTCTCTCTCTCTCTCTCTCTCTCTCTCTCTCTCTCTCCCCCTGCCTTTCCTGTCTATCTTTACTACCACTGTAAAAAAAAAAATGGACAAAATCAGGGTTAGAACAGTGTGATGAGATCCCATTAATTGGATAACGACATACTGTCCTCCTGCTTATGTAAATACTAACTAAAGTTCTGAATGTGTATTAATCCACAGCTAAAAATAGTCCCCAATAAATGTGCAGTCACTCCTGTTTGAGTAACAATTAATGGAAATTACATGAACCGGCTGTTTTAGGAAATTACTGAACCTTTTTTTAATTTAAAGTTCTATATTTCACGAGCCATTTCTAAAGATTGAAATATTTACTTTGATGAGATAAGGTTGGGACTAAACAGACAAAATTGGGAAGTTGCGAGATAAACTAACATGTTGTTGGTTTTGGTCTTTTCATAGGATTTGTAGACACTAGTAAAGACATAGAACATCACCAGCCTCATCCTTTAAGGCATGTGTGTGGTGGGATGGTCACTGAGAATGGGGTATGGTGTCAATGTTGTTTTTTAACCTTTAAATCCAAATTTCTAAAGGGTGATGTGAAAGAGTAGATGGAATACTGATTTAGACTTTGTACAGGGTAGTTCAAAGATTCACTTTTACTATTATACAGGTATGTACTATGGTTTCAATCGATGAATAAGTCTTAAATTTCTATATTTCTTATAGATCACAGTTCATATATTATTTGCTGATGCCCATCAAGTCATATTTTGTTATTTTTAGGTTTGCAAATAAATTGATGGATTAAATGGTCTTTGGTGGGTTTAGACACTTGCCCTATGTATTAAAAAAGACCTAAAACATAATTGTGTTATCTAGAAAATGCACTGTCACAAACCAGAAAGGCTGTTTTTTCTGTTTCTTGAAAAATAAATAGCTTCCACCTTCCATGACGGCCGCGACACCTTATCAACATTGAAGATAACTTTTCAATAATTATGTCTTTCCACCTTTTTCCAGCCATCACCTACACACCCAACTACAAGAAGACTCCTCCTCCGGTCCCACCGCGCACCACCTCCAAACCCCTCATCTCCATCACAGCCCAGAGCAGCACCGAGTCCACCCAGGACGCTTACCACGAGGGGAGACATCCTCATGGTGGGATGTGGGCCCCTGATGGTCTCAGCCTGGGGCTGAGACCAGGCAGGGCGCTCTATAACTCCACTGACAGCCTGGACAGCACCAAGGCCGTGACTATAGCCATGGAGGCGGCCGGAGTCATGGCCGGAAAAAGACACCCGTCCACAGACAGCCACAGCTCGGTGCTCACCTGTGACAAGGCCATCTTGGTGTCCAAGGCTGAGGAGTACCTCAAGACACCTCGGTCGTCTATAGGGATACAGGTCAGTCTTGTCTGTATGGTGAAAAGATCTAAAGGGGCACTAGAGTTCATGCAACCACAAATCTATTCTTGGTTGCATAATGATACAGAATACTCTCACACACATACATTCAACTCAGAAACACTGCTCTCTTTCCAGCAGCTAAAAATAGCAAGAGTGAGTCATATTACCGCAATCCATCAATTAAGATTCAACTCATGCTGGAGCAGGTTTTAGTGAATGATCGTTCACTCCATGGTCCATTCACTCCCTCTCCACTTACTGTACCTTTCCCTCTTTCTCATTCACACTCCCTCTCTCTTCTTCTCTCCTCTCCTCCTCCTTTACTTCTTGGTCCCTCTCCATTTCCCACTCTCTGTGATCTTACTTTGGTTTGTTTTCCTCATTCTTTGATACTGGCTGAGGCTCTGGTGTTGTTGATCTCATGTCACAGTCCAAAGGTTGCAGTTCTGTGGCAGAACAAAAAGAGAGGAATCTGTGGCAGCTCACATCACCACCTCAGTGTCTTTTCAAAGCAAAATATCAAAGTTACTCAAGGAATTTCAGAATTTAAAAGTCATGGATGGTATCTTCTCTTATGCTCTGCTTCGGGAGTAGTTTTCTGCCCTTTATTTTTCTTGGTTCATATACTTGGGTTCTCAACAGCTCTTTATCATTATGATTCCCTCTGTCCACATTTACTTTCCTCTATTTATCTTTCCTGAGTGTACTAACTTAATTATTATTCTCTTTCCCACCCATAAATCTATGCATTCATTCACACGCTCATTCCCCTCTCTGCTGACTGTCCGACTTGCTTAGACAAGTGCAAAGTTGAACTCAAAAACCTTTCAAATATTTGAAAATTCTGGATATGTTTCAATGTTGTTAGGTGCTGTTGCAAAATAAATCAAGCGCACCTTAAAGGGTAATTGCTGAGTTTTTTTCAGCTGATATTAATAAAGTCCTTTGGCTGGAGATTGGTCTAACACCCAAATTACACTGAAGCCATTGACTGTCAGATGTTGCCATCAGGGAGTCGGCCAGTGAATAAATTATCCCTTCAAAGTCAATTGATCCTGCTACACTCGCTGCGTTCTATCACATCCAGACTTAGAGAGTATCCAGCAGCATGTTTCAGAACCCAGACATTACATTTCACCATTATGTGTAAATGCGGGCAATGAAAAACAGCCTCCAACACATTACTTCTTATACGCTATTAAAATGATGTACTGGAATTCAGTCTGCAGAAACCTGGTTACTCTCTGCTCTCTCCCAGTTTACACAGAGGTTAAGGAATGAAGTCATCGCAAAGTGATCACGTTAATTAAAGCGAAGGATTAAGAGAAACTTGGTTAATGCAGCAACATTGCACAGCTTGGTGAACCCCATGTCAAGTGGACACATAAATATACTTCTACCATGTTACATGTGTGCCTGCGTCTATAAAGACTTCAGATAAGCAAAGTATTGCTGTGGCAGGATTGGCTTGGAATAAAAAGAAAAAAATCTGTATGTGAAAACTCCGCAACAAACAACAGATTGCTAGACTTACTCACTTTTACTGAGCAGAAAGACAGTACAGCACAGGCAGTACAGGTTCCACATGCATGTGGAGAACAAAAATGAGTCAGTGTGGCCCATATCTGAGCCATCATCATTAATCACTGATACATTTAAATGCAGCCTTGTTTCAAGACTATAGAAGCTTTGGAGAGACAAATCAGCTGAGCGTAAAAGCAAGTTTCGCAGTGGCCAGGTTACATTACTTTCCTGCCTCGTACACCGCCTCGTCATGTATTCATTCATTTGCTCAGTGTCTTCCTCGTATCACCTCACCACTCAGTGAGTGAGCAGATAACTCTTTACGCTACTCTCTGTCAGACACTTAATACCTCACCCACATACAGTACTTACAGTTTCTGTTTCCTGTTAGTGAGAGTCAGAGTCAGTCATCCAAGGCCGATCTGCCGCCTAACCACACTGATGAGTGCTAATTTTAAATAGCAGAGCTCATTGTCATGCCTCACCAAACTTCGCAGTGGGCGAAGCGCAATCGAGGCACCATCTTTCCAAATCAGCGCACATGCAGCTCGGATTTAGCTCGTTCATTACCAGCAGAGGTGAATACAGATCAAATACAGTGTGGAGGAGCTAAGTGTGAAGCGGAAAGAGCAGGACGCCATTCAGGAGGATGAGAGGAAGTGAAGGTGTAGTTATGGGAGGAGCAGCCAGGGAGAAAGTAAATATGTATTTGTGTGTGTGTGCATGTGTGCAAATGTGAATGAGAGCGACAGAGAATTGTATTGGCTTCCAAATTGGCTGCAGTGATGTGTGTAAAGTCCATAAGCACATTTGGTTAGTAATGCAGGTGCAATAAAGGTCTATATTTACAGAAACATCTGAGAGGGACTGAAATGCAGAGAAGGCAGCTTGGCAACAACATTTCTTTTTTTAAAAAAAAGAAAGTGTCCCAGGAACTCCCTTTGGAAGCATCCAGCCCCTCACCGCCAGTCCACCACTACGTTGAATGTCTGTTTGATTGTCTGAACTTCACAGTATCAGGGCGTTGGTGCTGAGCATGGCTGCCTTTTAGGACACTTAGGTCATGACCTCAGTTTTTTTAAATTTTTATCAACCTGGTGGAATTGGACTTCAATTCTAGTTATAAACTTACATATGGTGGATTTTTTTTTTCTTTTTTTTTTGCAGAATCCAGTGATTTATACTTAAAATATTTTATTTGGATAACTTTTTGATCCACGGAAATAAAGAATTCTACACCATAATTTTATTCTTCGTAGTGTGGCATTTATGTTGGGGAATTAAAGACTTAAGAAGTGTTTATTCTGGTTACTAGGCTAAATAGAGATAAAGTTCAGAGTTATAGATCATAATTAGAGTTTATTTAGCTGAGTTTGTTTATTGTCAAAGGAATTTCCGAAAACAAGCTCTATTTAAAAACTACAGAAAATGTAGTTGAATTAATAATTCAGAAAATAAACATTTTAGAGATTATATTTCTTTGAGGTTGTTGCGTTCGCTTTCCATGCATAAGATGCTCTGTCTAACTTCAAGCCCATATTGTTTCCTGCTCGTTAGTTGATCATTTCAGTCGATGTGATGACAAAAACATGTTACAGCAAGTGACTCTTGGGACTTTTCAAATATTGATTTATCTACATAGCAGACAGCCTTTGTTGACCTCATCATATCATATGGCCAATCAGTCTGCTTCACCTGCTACTGGAAGCATAATTAACCTGAATTAGCCAGCCTCTGCATTGATCTGCCGTTTGCTTTTCACACCCTCTATCTCAGAAGGTCAACGTGATTTTAATCTCTGCCCGTGTGGACGTGGTGTCGTATTGACTTCCCGTAGCCCTTAGAGGCCACTTTGTAGCTGCACTTTTGCTACGTTAAAGCTGCGACGTGTTTGTTATCTAAAGCGCTGATTGATTTATTTACTGAAATAGTTTTAATTGGAGCTGTAATGAAGTTGTATAAAGCGGAAGTCAAAGCTTTTAACCTTAAACGCGGCCACTGGCTGGCAAAAGTCACCAGGTGGTGTTTGTGTGTTTTGGATGAAAGGCGCAGTGGCTCTGTTCGACTTTCCGCTGATGCTCACAGTTTCCACACCTGTGCTGAAATTGTGACTGTGATTACCGATGCAGCGTGTGTGTGTGTGTGTGTGTGCGCACCAGCATATCTCTATATACGTACACCTAAACGTCTCCAGGGTAGGTAAGCCTATAGGACATAAATCTCACGGCCTCCTGGATGTTTTGTCTTCCTTCAGTCTTTATCCATCACAGACATGAAACTCATCCTCTCCTCATGAGTTGGACTCTGCTCTGCTTCTAACACAAAGTAATGGAGGTCACCTCGGCGAGCTGCTCCACACTCATTTCCTTCCCGCTAACAGCTTCTCCCAAACGGCCTGACAGAATACAAAATGGCTCTCCAAAAATGTCACTCCCCAGCTTTAATACTGACCACTCCACACCAAAGATGGGGTTGACATTTCTCCACAACACAAGGCCACCCTTTTTTGAACCCTTGCCTTTGACTCACTCTCGCAAACTCTCGCTGAAGATCTATGAATGTCAGAGGCCTCATATGGACATTTCTGGATGGCTCCTGCAATCATTCTGTTGGCAAAGGCAGGATTGATGTTCCTGATATGACAGAAAAATAAACTGATTTCTTTTTAGTGCACGCCGTGTTATAAAGAAACACACTAATCAAAAGATAGATAGATGAATCCAGGAGAGCTACATTCAAAAGGAAAGAAATGGCACATCGCTTCCTACCACTAACCACATCGGCCACTCTGCACTATCAAACTTTGGATGTGCAGACCATTTCTGATACAGTCACGATGAAAAAAAGGCTCAGTGGGCAGTAAAGAAGAAAGACTGATATGACAAAAAAGACCAAGAGAGGCTTAAGACACCAAAGAAAGAAAAAGATTGTGACAGTAAGCCAGCAGGAAATTGTGAACTCTAGACAAAGAGAGAAGTGAAAGAAAAGAAATTAAAAAAAAAAAAAGAGAGAGATGAGAGAATGGAGAAACAAGGAAAAAGTGACAGATAAAAAAACCCACAGCAGAAATGGTGAGCAGTGACAGGGTTTCCATAAAGCCAGTAAAATGTGGGGCTCCAGGGAGTGGTGCAGGCAGCGATAAAGAGTCTCTGAGTCTGGGCTGCTGGATCAGGTTCTCAGCCACGCAGCAGCAGGGAGGATCATCATCACTCACTCTTGCTTCCCATCCCATAATATCCACTAATGTTGCCCTATCTGTCACTGCGTAACTATGGTCACACAGGCATGAATACTTGGCCAATACATACTACCTCACTTACAGTATTGAGCAGTTTTTCAGTGGATTTTGGGGGCAGTATAACAGGATGCAAATACAACATTGGTTTATTATGACCTTATAAAGTTGATACGGCTAACTTGTTAGCTCCATTAGCGCTCATTTGAAGTGATGTTCCTGGCTACCTGAAGACTGTAAAAATCCAATGTTCACTCTCCTATTAGGTTTGTTTTGGTATAAAAATACTTCTGAGAGAAATATTTTGACTCTTTAGCGACTAAACAGTCGTCATTGTTTCCCAGTTAGTTGCTAACTTTATGTAGCCGCCGTTTGGTGCTAGGCTGACGGCGTACAGTGGGTTTAACAGAGCTTTACCACTAAAAACGCTGCCTTTGTTGAGAAACTATGCTAGAATGGTGAGAGTGAGCCAAAACATAGTTATGTGACCCATTGTTCAGATAAAAATACTGATTGGAACAACTTTACCCCCAGTGGAGTCCTGCCACAGTTTCAAAAATATTGATTACATCACAAGAAAGTACCTTAATTTTTTTGCTTCTTGTATTTCTATTTTATTGTAAATCATATGACCTGAATTTGAGAACTATAATATTGCACATATGTGTTGCTCATACTCATTTTAACACAGCACTGCAGCACAGCAACAGCTTGATGAGCAGAAATCTGAAAATAATCAAATATAAACATTACAAATTTTCAGTTAATCATAAACAATTGTAACTAAAATGAGCATGTTGAGACATTATATAGTGTGCGGCATAACATGCAGCACAGCCCAAACTCCTCTGTAGTGAACCTCTACAGTCTGTTACCTTTACAGCCTCTGTAAATCATACAATGTTTACTTTCAGACAGGCACTGTACAGTTAAGGTGCTCTGTCCAGTCCCAAACCAATAAAACTCAGTAACACTGGGGAATGGTCACTCACATAATGAGAGGCACTATTGATTTGTATCATTTCCTCATATTAGGTGGAAGCAGCCACAGACTCTGAATCTGAAAGCAAAGGCTTACGGGAGTACCACTCTGTTGGGATCCAGGTAGAAGATGACAAGAAAGGGTGAGATAATGATTTAAGTTGTGTAATCTTTGGATGTTTTTCTCTGACTTTTACAAACAACAGCCCCATTGTTACTGCCATTATTTGTAATTTTGGGCTGTGTATGTGTATCTCTGCAGACAGGGCAGGTTCAAACGCTCCAACAGCGTGACTGCAGCTGTGCAGGCTGACATGGAGTTGGAGGGCTTCCCTACCATGGAGGACAAAGGCCTGCAGTTTGGTGGGGGCTTCCAGCGTCACTCAGAGCCCAGCACGCCTACACAATATGGGGCCGTGCGAACCGTTCGCACCCAGGGGCTCTTCAGCTACCGTGAAGATTACCGTACCCCTGCTGAACCCCCCAGCCCCAGGGAGACGACCAGTGAGACCACCTGGCAGCTGGAACCCCCCTCCCCACGGGAGAGCGCAGTCTCGTCAGGCGAGTCGGGAAGGGCGTCCCCCTCCCTGCGGAGGGATGGGAGCTGGTTCATGCAACTGCTCCACGCAGAGACCAAGAGGATGGAGGGCTGGTGCAAAGAGATGGAGGCAGAAGCTGAAGAGAATGACCTGACAGAGGACAGTGAGTGGTCTGCTGAAAGCTTCGGATATTTCTGATTTTTGAGGGTTTTTTTTAATGTGCTACACTGAACCTATGGCGCTGTGTGTGTTGTACAGTATTTGATATGCTGTGTGTGTGTTTCAGTCCTAGGCAAGATCCGAAGTGCAGTGGGAAGCGCTCAGCTGCTCATGTCTCAGAAATTTCAGCAATTCTACTGGCTGTGTCAGCAAAACCTGGTAAGAAACCTATCAAAGAGAGGCAGTATGTGAGTGCTCTCTCTCTCTCTCTCTCTCTCTCTCTCTCTCTCTCTCTCTCTCTCTCTCTCTCTCTCTCTCTCTCACACACACACAGACACACACACACACCAACACACACTCACAATGAAATGCACTTATATAATATTATTATTTTTCATTGACCTTCATGCTAACTCTAGTTTAGTCAAGTTGTGTTGTGCATAGAAAATTTTATCAGATGATCTTTTGCATATATCTCAACAAGAATAAAAGAGACAACAGAAACAATACTCTACTAACATGATCACTGGATCTAGTAAGTGTTTGACATATGATTATCCATATATGGCAAAGCATAAAACAAAAAGAAAAGAAGTATTAAACTATATGGTCTGTTTTGTCTATGTAGGAATTTATAGATAATGTCTCTGTGTCAGTAAAAAATCGAATTTAGTTATTTTCGTGGCAACTCAAACAAACTTAGAATTCAAGTCACATGTAGGACATCCAGTTTTTCAGTCCATTCGTCAGGCCCAATCAATCTAAATAATGTTACTCCATTCAACTTACTTCTATATGCAGAAATTAGAAAACATCACATCTAAATTTTAATTAAGGGGAAGAGAAATTATTGTGCCTCAGCTGCAGTGTGAAAGAAAGAAACAAGACAAAAAAAAAGAAATTAACTTTTGTCTTTAGAAACAGCTCCACACTCCTTTACGTGGCCTCACAACCTTAGTTCTCCAACCTGCGGTCCACATTTAATGCTTTCGCTGGCACTATCAAACTGAATCAAAACTCCTTGAGTATGGCATTGATTGTGGAAAGCTACAATGCAGAGAATCAGTAGCTCAATAGCACATTTATATGTGACCTGACTGTTTTGAAATGAACAATACACGAGCGTGGATGGACGTGTTCTCTGTGATGTAGCTCGCTCCTGAGAGGAGAAGAGAAGAGAACCGAGGGCTGAGCCAAACCGGGGTTTAAATGGAGCTAAATATCCAGAGAGCAAGCCGCTCTATCGCTCATCCAGGGGGTCAGGAGCACACACAGGGTCAGGGATTTCCGCCTCACATTTTTCTTTGCACTGTTCACAACTGGTTTTATTGATCTGAGCCAAGCACCCAATATTTCAAATGAAGTTGGTGTAGAGTTATGAGAGATAGTGATGCTGTTTTTGCAATGTGAAGCAGAAACTGCTCATCCTGGGGGGAATGGGAATTGCATGGGGATTAGATACAGAGAACCAGCCTTTTAGACCAAGTCAAGTGCGTTTTGTCCTCTAAAGGAGACAGTATTATGCAGGTTTACTCGGCAACTTCTTCATTACAAACAGCTGCATCATTTCTCCACATGGCAAATGCATAAAGATCAATACTCACAGCACGTTTTGGCTTCACTTGTGAAATAAATGCTCGCGAATTAGCAGTTTGAAAAGATGTCTAATTGCGTTTTATCAGCCTGCTTCTCTCTACCTCATGGATCGACTTTCATAAAGCTCGACTCTGAAAAGAGACAAACAGTTTGCGTGGAGCACTTCTCTGGGAGGAGCTCCAGGATTAAAAGCACACACTGACACAGCCAGGGCTTAAAACTTACTCTGACTCTTCCTAAATCTGGCAGCTCTGGATACTTGAAGCCTTAAGACTTCCGAGACAGTTTGCAGAACATCTCAAGGTCAGGGGTCAGAATAAAGCTGATGAAGTGCTGAGGCAGTTCCACGGTAATTACAGATAACAGAAATGTGTTCCCAGCTTACCTCACCTGATGGATACTATGATCTTTAAAATCTTATGGTATGTTTTTTTGATTCTTTTGCTGCACAAGAAAAGAGTTATACTGATTCCAAAATGCTAAACAAATATGAAAGTAAAACGATGACTCTCGATGAGAATTATATGCAAATTTTAGTCACACCATTTGACATTACAAATATCACAGTAAGATTACTGTAAACATGAAACCACTGATACAGTTAAATTTAGCAAAGCACAGTGTGTCTAAAGTTATCTGACAAATGTCTTTTTCATTCACATTTTGTGTTTGTTTCTGTGATGTCATAAGATTTTCCTTTTAGAGGATCATTAATGTTTAAAGTCAAAGTCAGATAACATTTTGTGAGCATCTCTTTAAAAGCTCAGGAGGTAGAGCGGGTCGCCCACTAATCAGAAGGTTGGTGGTTTTATTCCCGCCTCCTCCAGTCTGCATTTCAATGTGTGCTTGGGCAAGATACTGAACCCCACATTGCCCCTGATGTATCATCAGTGTGTGAATGTGCGTGTACGATAGAATAGCGCTACATGTGCAGGGAAAAAGCACTGTACGAATGTTTGTGTGAGTGGGGTGAATGTGGCTTCCATTATAAGAGGGCTTTGATAACTAGAAAATAACTATATATAAGTGCAGTATAAGTGCAGTCCATTTACCATTTATTCTGTTAAAAACAGGATCCTGTAGCAGGATATAATGCCACATTGAAAGGGGAAGAAATAAACCACAGGAAACAAAGCTGGAAAAAAATAATATAATAACTCTCCCATGGCTGTAGCGTGGATAGTACCAGGCCCTGCCATCATACTGCACGTCTGTTAGACCATCAGACAGCAGCACCCTTCACCAGCCACATAATCTAAATGTCATAAGGTTTCGAGCGTGAGTGTGGGAATGTCGCTGGGGTTATAGAGTCGACACGTCCCTTCTTAGATGTTTTGTTGAAGCAGGTCCACGGTTTCTGGAATCTGGAGTCTGACGCTGACTAAGCTGCAGATTCTGCTGGCCTGAGACACATTGAAAGAATTGAAAAACCAACCTGAAACACGAGGTTGACTTGAACACGTGAACATCTTTATTATACACACTTTCTTTAATACTCGGTTTCTTTAGTCACAGTGAAAAATTTAATGTACTCAACATTGCTTCTTAAATGTCCATAGTTCATACAGAAAGCAAACGCATGACCTTTGTATTATTAGCTCCGTGTTCTTTAAAAGGTCCTGAATAAATTACACAGTGTGGTGTGGAAGGAGCTCCTTGTATGATTAGACCATTGTTAAGAAAATTGTCTTTTTCACACTATTGTTGTACCATAGATCAGTCCAGCGACAGTGTCTCTTTGTAGATCACCCAAGAAGAAGTGAACAAAGATGTGGACTTATTCTTATTATCTCAAAAAAAAAAGAGTGTTAGCACAGATTCTTGTGACTCATTAAAACCAGAGACAATGAAACGCTCTTCAATCTGATGTTCATTTCATTTCAGGTTTCAAGTGGTGAATAGGACCCAATTGACAAAGGCAGTTTATTATTTCTAAGCTCATCCATGGAAATATGACAGGATTGGTCTCCATCACAAGTTGTTCTCCCTCATTTCAACCAAAAAGCCCAAAACTGGTATCCGTGCCTGTTTTGAGTGTGATAAGGACATCTAGTGGATCTAAGCCGAAGTGCAATGACCACTATGGTCATGACTGTCTTCATGTCCACGTGCTCATGTGCAGAGGTGGAGGAGATATCCAGATCCATCACTTAAGTAAAAATACCAACACAGAAAAGTCCATTTAAAGTTAAATTCCTACTTAATTAAAAGTACATAAACAAAAGCGCGTAAGTAAAATGTAGTGAAAGTTTTAAAGTAAAAGTACTGGTTTGGTCTGATATATTGTTATATGTGACATCATTAGCTGATTAATAGTGACGCATCAGTGTGTAAGCAGCATGTCACTGTTGTAGCTGCTAGTTTGAATTTATTTCTATACAGGAATACAAGATAAATCTGAGGGGTTGTGAGATGATTGATGAAAGAGGAAGAGTTCTGTTTTCAGTTTCTGGACTTTTTCTCTTTTCCACTATCTGGTTCATTACTTAATGTCACCGCAGACATTAATAACATCTTTGTTGTAACTCCTCTCACCTGCATCTCATGTAGGACCCTAGTGCCATGCCGCGGCCCACCTCTCAGGACCTGGCCGGGTTCTGGGACCTACTGCAGCTCTCCATCGACGACGTCACCATGAAGTTTGACCAGCTGCAGCAGATCAAGAACAACAACTGGAGGCCCGTCGACAGCCCAGAGAAGAAGGTGAGAAGTTCCCCTGGCAGTGTTAGCCATGACCCCAGGCAGCCTGAAGATGTTACTGCTTTGTCAGGTGCATGTATTTTGTATAATGATCCTGACAAAACTTCAAAGACTGGAAGTGATTCAGCGCTTTTCTGTGGAAGCATTAAAAACATATGAATGTAAGAAACAGTCAGAAGTTTGATTCTTCCAATTTACTTGATGAAGCATTTTTGATTAGGGATTAAATATTATTAGGAGAAGAAAAATCATTTATTTATTTAGTTATTTAGTTATTAAGTTATTTTTATTTTTGCAAGGTTGGCTAAGTTTTGGAGAAAGTATGGGAGGATTTTTAACAAAAACACACACACATCTAATTTGCAATTTAATGGCTATATGAATTTAAAACTATTGTCTATAAATAGGTGTACACTAGTCAAAATTCTCTATGCACGTTTAATTGGCCAATTGGCGAATTTTGTAGTGTTTTTTTCTATTTATATTATATTTCTTATAGGAAAGGGTGTTGGCATAGCTTAGAAAATATGAATCATTCTGGGGAAGGCCTTTGCTTTGAAAAAAACATAACATAAACATATGTTTCGGCAACCTTCCCAACCCTAGTAATTTTCATACAATCCCATCACAAAAAATCTTTTTCTAAAGGTACGTGCGACCACTTCTTAATTATTCTCTCTTCTTCTTAAAGCCACCAGCTCCTGTACCAAAGAAGACAGTTCGACAGAGGAGTGCGGTGACCAGGGAGAAATCCTTAGACCTCCCAGACAGACACCGACAAGAGGCCCGTCGGCGGCTCATGGCAGCCAAGCGGGCAGCCTCTTTCCGGCAGAACTCAGCCTCGGAGCGAGCGGACAGCATCGAGATTTATATTCCCGAGGCTCAGACTAGACTTTGAGGAGATAGGGTCAGGGGCCAACATGTCTCCCTGCTCCCACGTTTAAACAACTTTAAAACTAGCCTTTTTTCTAGACTGCTACTCTCTTTACTCTTCCTTTATCCATCTGTTGTCTGATCTCGATAGCCATCCTCAGTGCCCATCACCATCGGTCTGTAGGATGTGCCAAGCCTCTTCTCCCATTGCCAGAATAAGTGTTAGCAGAAATGTATGTCTGACATGGGTTGGTTGGGTTTCTCCTTGGTTTGCTGGTGATCACGATACCCAGCCTACAAGCTCTCTCATCCAATGTCCTGGATGGGTACATCTGTAGTTTTTCAGCATTTGCAAAGTGCCATTTAAAAAGTGCAGCTTTGAAAACCTACCAGCAACCAGGCCTTTGAGCTAAAAGAGTAAATGAGAGAAATTATATTTATTTCAAGTTGTTCAAAAATGGTCAAAGTTAGTAATACTTCAGTATTTTTAAATAATTTAAGGTTACATTGTGACTATTTTTTTCTCTGTTCGTTTTGGAGTAAATGTTAATTACAAGCTAAATATCACAAAATTGTTGTAAGTTCAAAACTTTGAAAAGTGCCAATGCTTGAAATACCTCAACTATGTGCATGTGGCACTGATCACCCATTCAAGGTTATTCAGGCAGCCCTTATAAGCTCTGGACTGGTCAGTGTTGAAAAATGCAGCTTTCTACCCAATCTGGTTGTAGTCAAACATTTTTCATGGTCTGGATTGGTGTTAGATTGACATCTGTCAGCTCATTAACATGCACATTTCAAACAACTTTCCTATATATCTCATGTTCTTGTTGCCAACTTTCAAATATTGACATTTACTTGAAGCGGAAAACATGCAAGTCTTGTGCCAACATTTTCATTATGTCAATGCAGTAGAAAAAAAACTATGAAGGTTTGTGTAACTCCTTAGATCAAAATGTGTAGACAAACGCACTTATGCACTTATTACAATTGTCTCTATTTCCAAGGGAAATGTACATACCCAAGTTCACAATAGTACTGTTGTATTTTTGAATTGTGAGCGGGAAGAATATTCATTGTGTATTTTTTTTCCGCACAGATCCACTGCTTGCCTGCCCTCTCTATTGCTTTTGACAAATCTGGATTTGTTGCATACATACAGGGGCTTGTTCACACACACTCACACACACACACACACACACACACACACACACACACACAGACAAAACCAAACTGCTGTGTTTTCATCTAAAATACTTCTCTCAGGCCCTTCCAAGTAGCGCCCCCAGCCACAGTTAATGAGGAGTGATAGAAAAAAATCCTCCCAAAACATAAACAAAATATCTGCATACGAGTTGCTTTAATCAAAGACAGAGCTTTGTAATTTTCATATTTCTTGAAAAGTTCTGTGTTGCTGAAAGTCTACCTAAGCAGTATCATAACTGCACTGACTCCCTCTAGGAAACACTGAGAAGTAATGAAAAGAAATTGGGGCAAAGGCATTCCAGAGGGAAGCAAGTCCCAAATAACCAAAACTCTGCAAGTCTCCCGTTGAAAGGAAATACATGAGGAATGGGATATTAGTTATCTGTGGCTCTGCAGACCTGTGGGTGATATTTTGTCACAACATGACGTAGTTACCTAGATATTATTATTTGCCTTTGATTACCATCGCAATGCTGAGATACACTCGAGAGGCTGGTTGCACCAGCTCTTTGTAAATGCAAACTTAACCTAGTTCTAACATGTTTGACAGAACTAACTGGAGATTTCTGCATAAATTAAAGTGGGTTGCACTACACAAACAAATTCATACGTAGAGATTAGCTGTTACAAAATATATAATTACACCTATTCGGTGCCAGGTGTAACTGCAACATAGCTAACTGAACCAGCTGACAAACTAGCGTTAGCTTGCTATATGTGACCTGTTCAGATTGAAGAGTCAAGGAGTTCACATGAAATATGGTCAACATATCTGACCTGATACTGGATAAAGTGCTTCAAACGTTTAAATGATGCTTTAAATTCAATTCAATAATAATAACAAAACATACATTAAATTACAAAACGTTTTGCTAATTACATCATGCTAAATGACTAAACTGTGACGGTAAGGCGAGCATAATGACGGTCATTCTAAACTGCATGAATAGTCCTAAGTCTGACAGTGCAGTTTGTGATGCTGGAGTGACTTCCTTTTTACATTGCTTTTGAATGGATCGTGCTGCCAGTGTTTCCTAGCAACTCATTTAAACATTATTAAAGGCTTGACCAGCCAAGACATCTTTTGAGTTTTTGCAGTGCAACCCAGTTTTGTAAATCACTAGTTTGAAATCAGCCCGGAGATTCTAAAAACTTTAGCATTTTACACACAGACTTGGTAATGGATTTACAACTAACTGGTGCAACCCATATCCTGGTATGTGATGTGAAGGTGGAAAACCAACAGTCATCACAGAGTTTACGTCCAGGTGCTTTTAAGTAAATTGATCTTAAATCAAGCTCATCTTGAGCAAAAGCTAAAATTCTGCTGATCTTTATTCATTATATTGAAATCGCTGACCTAAAGACTGAAGTCTGTTGTTAAAAACTTTGGATAATCAATCAAACGGTGCTGCTTTTTATTTAATCAATACAGTACTAGATAAACAATCAATGCAACACAGTGTGCTATCAGCTGATCAAAATATCACTTGAAAGTCTATTTTTATGACTAAGAAATTTTTTGTTGATTAAATGTGCCAGTGTGCCTGGCTTCTTTAAAGGTAGGACCGTTTGGATTTATCATAGAGCATTAACATTTCAGTGAATTTGAATATTGCATGTGTGTTTTGTTGATATGTGTGTGTGTGTTTATTGTTTTCGTGGCGCAGTGCTGACAGATTCAGAAAAAGAGAGGGTGAATCTGGGGTCAGTGTGCGTCTGAGTCGGCTTGATTTCCCTGTTACTACCCAACTGTGGCCTGACCTGCATCTCTGTCTCACACACACAAACACACAGACAGATACACATTGTCCCTGTGTCATCAGCATTCTGCTGAAATGTATTTTAGAGACCATAGCATATAATGTAAATTTTTTTGGCTACACATACCTTTTTTAACCGTTTGCATCCGTGTTAAACTTAAATACACAGAGTCCCTGAAGACATAAAACAGCTCTGAATCCATCATGACTCCAAGTGTAGATGTGTTTACTCCAATTTGTTTCCAGTTTTCAAACCAACCTTTCACTGTATCAGAATGCATTATTCATTGTTTAGTTATCATACATTCTTGTAGCACAGCCCAGACAATACATTTCAGAGAGCTAAAAAGTATTTTCAGTCCAACAACCAAAGTCAGCTGTAGGGTGACAGGGTCTCAGACATGTGGTGCCATGCTTAAGTCACAGATTGAGCTTTTAATAGCCCACGGCTGAGTCTAAGATTACACATTTTCTTAAAAACACACTCATCTATAATTCTGCTGTTTTTTCATTGCAGAGGCAGGGACCTTAAACACTATGACAGCGGGTTTCTGGAAAGCGTCTGGGTGTTTGATGCCAGGCAGTTGGCAGAGCAGAGACGTTCCCCTGCTGTTGCCACAGTGGCAGGCAGACGGGGGAGAGACAGACTCAGCCTGACATATGCTGGCTTAGAGGAGAAGAGAGCTCCGCGCTGAGCCCCAAACTGCCGGTGTTGTATGCTGTTGTGTAGCTGGGAGGCTGTTCTGTGTGGATCGCTGGGCGCTGTGCTGGGTATTTTTCAGCCTGCCTTTGACTAAGCAAAGCAGCTTATGTAAGATTTCGGGTCCTTGGTGAGATCAAGCAAACAGCCTCCAAGGCCCTTCAAAGCTTGTGTTGATAAATGTATTGCTGAATATTGGCCTACACTGTAGAACTTAAGCATCAGCACTATACAAATTTTGGTTCTATCAATCTCTGCTGGGCTGGTTTCACAGAAGGCTGTGATTGAAACAACAGAGGTGTTTTCTCTCATATGCAAATTGATCAGGGCTGTAAAAAAAAAAGAACTGTATCCACCACCTTGGTTCAGTTTGAAGCATATCTCTTCCTCCTCCAAGAGGCATTCACATAATTGCAATGAGACAGTTTTTCTCGTTAGACCACGAACGAGCCATTTCAAATAGCAAAGTGAGATCAGTGCCAGAAATCACGAGGGAGCAGAAAATGTTGGAAAGGATTTGTGCAATAGAGACACGGACTTCAGTAAATTTACAGCTACAGTTTAGAAGTAAGAACTAGGCTTACAGAAATCACATATTTAGATTGAGAACCATTTCCTTTCTGGAAGAAAAGAATATTACCTTGGTAGTCCTGAAACTCTCGCAAAGCTATTTTCTAAGCTATGAACAAAATCTTTGTGCTGTAATGGTTAGGTCAAGTTTCTCTCTGTGAAAATCATTTTCCACCTAGGAGAAGTCTTTTTTCTTTTCTTTTTTTTTACCCTTTCACTCATTTTTGTCCAAATAGGTATGAACACAGTCTTAGATGGACAGCTGTAATGACCTCCTCCTTGTGACAAAGTGATCTTGTAAGTCTTTACTGAGGATTGTTTTAGTGCGTTCTGTGTTGGATTCCTTTGATTGACATACGTTTGTGTGGTGTGCATGTGACACTGTGAGCAATGGAGGATGCCTCACTCGCCAGAAAGTAACTGCAGTGATGATTTTTTTTTTTTTTTCAAATTAAAAGATTATGGTAATTTAACAGGTCACCCAGCAAAACCTCCTGAAAAGCCAGCGGGCAGAAAATTGCATCAATGTCACATTTAATGTCATGAGGGCAGCATTAACTACAAGTGCCATCTTTTTTGACTTATCCAGCATACTGTAAAGTCGTTTCTCCTCACAGCCACATATCCATCATCAGTTACGTGTAAGCAAGCCATTTCTGCCATCTTCCTTTTCCCATTTCTAGCCACATATTTCTATCATTTCAGCCCGCATCTTGACATTCTGTGGCCTCTCTTCTGGTGTACGACTGTCTATCCGCTCTCGACTCTCGACCCCATGATGTGAAATATTTCAAGGGGACTTTTTCGTAACCATGTCGTGGAAAGAGCGTCAGACTCACTGAGATATAGCCTGATACAACACTTCCTTGAACTTGGAATGTGAAACAACTCTATAATTACTAGATAAAATGAAAAAGGTAGTTTAGCTAAAACTATTTTCATCTCTTGTATATCATATCTATAGTGAGGATGAATATAATTCCAAATATTCATTATTTGTAAAGAAATATATATAGATATATAAATATATAATATATGCTTCATTGAAACATAACTATTTTCTGCTCTTGCTCATGTTTTGTTTTCATTTTTACTTTGTTATAGTTATTTTATAAGCTGATATGATGGCATGCGAAATACTGATTCTGAATGTAGGCTTATTTATTTTGTCAAAAACTGATGACACTGTCCCACTGATGTACATTTGTTATGTATTTATTTAAGTCGATCACATATGCATTTCTCAATGTGTGTTATTTCAGTGCAAGTTAACGTATCACTTGTTTTTTTTTTTTGTATTATTTAAGTAGTTTGCAACAACATATGCATTTTCCTCTGTTCTTTCCTAGCTGAGCTATTGAAAGATTTTGCCTCTTTGAGTAGTTTGATCATTGCTGCGGTCATCCGGTGTAAATAATTCTGCAATTAAATTTTTGGAGAAAAAGTTTGGAAATGTTTGTCTGTGTGGTTGCTTTGAAAAATGTTAGTAAATTACTCTCTGCTACTGTGGCAATTATGGTAAGATATGAATATCAGTAAAATGTTATGAGTTGATTTAAAATCCCTTAAAGGTTTAATTCCATATTGTTAGACACCAAACTACATTATATCCACTAAAGTAGGGGGGCAAAAAAAACAACCGCTATTCAATGCTTCTCCTAACAACAACTGTATTCCCAGTGGAAGGATTTTATCTCACAGGAGGAAGGCTCAAAGAATTTATCAAACTGTTCTTGACATTTCATGCATTTTATATCTGTATGCAGTCTGCTAACCAAAATAGCAATGAGATAAAGATGAAGGGAAGCTCTGAATCATCTGTCAGAGAAATTGAAATTACTTGTCACTGTTCTTGGTTAAGTGAGTCAGGGAGGTCATATATGTTATTCCTCAATATATGCTGTTATTTTTTTCCATAGCTACCAAGTATGAGTCGACTCACCTTTTTGAGTAATTCAATTGAACAGACCAAAATAATGACTTTACAATCCACCTCCCATCATATAATATTCTGGTCCAATTGCTGAAGAGCATCTTTTTGGTTCACAACACAATAGAATGATTAATATCCAACATGGTGTTTGTCTGAGACATTTTGTATTGGAAAGCTGGTTGTGACCAGTATTGCATAGTGTTGCTACACATTATATGTGCATTCTGTTGTAATGGTAATCTGATTCAGGCCTGTGACAAAATAACAACAGTGCTATATTTAGGTTAGTTGTCAAATAGCATTGCCTAATTTTAATGTTGATTTCTTTATCTGAAATATAGACACTTAATACTTATGTTTCTGCAGGTTGTAGGGATGTCTGCAAGAATATGATATATATAATAATATATCAGGATTGTACTTTCAAATTTCAAAATCCAGATCATCAGTCTGAAGGCGTTTTGAGTTATTCTGGCAGATGAAACATCCTCTAACTCTGAAGTTTGGCAGAGATATGGATAGGAATAATGAAACACCATGCACTAATAAAAATGATAAAGGTGTAAGTTGTAGGAAAAGTAGAAGCTGTCAGAATACTGAGAGTTACAAGCTCCCAAAGGATTTAATTACTGCAACATTTTGAACTTCAAGGTCAGGCGAATAAAATGGTGTGATTTGCCCCACTCAACAAAACTAGCAAGAGAGTCAGGAAGATGTCAATACTTTAAATGCAAGTTGATTAAAATATTTTACTGTATGCCTTTTCCTTCAATTTAATATTAGGTTGGTTCTATATGAAAAATCAAGCATTCAACAGCCATTCATTAACTTTAGTGTCAAGATATTTCCATTAAAAAGGTTACACTGTAGAACCCATGTGTAGAACTCAACTTAAACCCTGGCCCCTCTCTCTCACAATCTCAAATATATGTGGCAAAGTCGCCCCCTGTTGGACAAAGAAAGAAATTCATGCATTGTTCAAATAACAGATGTTGCAGCTGAATTTCTCTGCATACTTTTCTTCCTTTACTGCCAAATCAAGATTTAATTTGACTTCGATATTTGATTGTTTACATTGCTGTAATTATTGTGACATGATATATCTAAATGTAGTACATAAAAGGCAGCTGCAACTCTGTGTCTTTTATTTTAACCTTTTTACCATTAGTTCAAGAAGTTTCATCAGTTCTGACTTGTGAAGTTCCCACCTCAGCGGGGAGTGATGTCTTCAAGAGTTTGACAGAGTCCTAACAGATATTCAATGACTATAAAGATTGGGAAATCTTATCAACATATAACCCTGTTGTTGTGGGATGTCAAGTGCTTTCATCACATAAACAAGTAAATACTGTCTCATCACAATGGGGCTGAGCCCCTTTGTGTGTGGAGTCTACATGTTGTCCTTGTGTCTCTGTGGCTTTCCTCCAACAGTGTAGAGATATGTATGGTTGACTGCGGTTATTTGGTGGTGTCAATGTGTTTTATCACTATGGCAATCTGCCCAGGGTGCACCTTGTTTCTTGCCCAGTGCATTTGAGGGTACGCTACACAATTTACCGTGACATAATTGTTTGAAGTTTTTTGATTGTTTGTTTGTTTTTGATAACACTGCTCTCGTGTTATTTTTCTCCATGTAACGACATATAATTTATATCTGCAACTTGTAGATGAATACACGTCATGTTCATGTGGTTTGTTTGTTTGTTACGTAGCGTTATAGTCAGAATAAAACCATAAAACCAAACCAGACGTTTGGCATTTAGATGATAAGTCAAGAGACAACCAGTAGGATTCTGGCTCTCAGCGGCGTTAACCAATGAGATGTCGGGAAGTTCAGAAGAGGCGTGACTTCCTGTTTGCAGGTCACATGACCAAATTGATGTCGTATGATGTGAATTGTCCTGTTGTAGCTTCCAGTGGCTGCACCGTCATAGCGTGTTCAGTGGAAACTCGTCCGTACGGTGAGTGTTACAAGGAAGTTAAGTCGTAATTATTGCCTCTTCTTGGTATCTTCTTAACTTGAGTAGTCGCAGCCACATTTGGGTGTGTTTTTCTGCTAATTTTACCACACAGTTGTTTATGTTGAAACGTGAATGGCTCATCGTGTTTTTGAAAGGACTTGATGTAAAAGTTCGGCTTAAATGGGTAAAACGATATTTATTATTTATTTATTAGGTGTAGAACTTTTGTAAAGTCATTTTTAAGTCAAACAGCGAATTAAACACGTCGTTTAATGGAGCCTGGCCTCATTTGTTAAAGCGAAAGTGATGTATTACTATATATTATTTGTGTTATATGATTTGCTGTCTGTATTTTCTTCATAAGCTTGAACAATTGTTTTGCAGGTGACCCACACACACCATGCACGTGCCAGCCCCTGCCCACAGTCCCACCTGCAGCTGAGCCTCCCCTCAGCTTGAGCTTCACCTCCCTCCATCACCATGGATCCTGACCAGCAAACCAGCCCTCTTCCCCGTCCCAGTGCAGAATACTTCCAATGGGACTATCGCCTCAGACTTATTGGCCTAGGATTTGGCTTCTATGTAGCAATATTCCTCCTCTCTCACCTCCTGTCTCTGGCTCTGTCACGCACCTACAACTCCCTACCTGCTAAGGAGAAAGTTTTCTGGAACGTTGCAGCCAGTCGGGCGGCATTTGGAATCCAAAGTACTGTAGCCGGTCTCCGGGCCCTGACTGAGGACTCTGAGTTAACCAGAGACAGAGTGAGAGGCCAAGAAGACTGGTCATGGTTTAATGTCCTCACAGCCACAGGTTTCTTTGTGTTTGAGAATGTAGCACTTCACACCTCCAGTGTGGTATTTTGGTCATTTGACCTCCCACTGGTGACACACCATTTCTTTGCCCTGTCGGGATATGCAGGGGCAGTGGTGTGGGATTCCCTGGGCCACTTCCTGCCGATGGTTACGCTGCTGCTGGAGATGAGCACACCATTTACCTGTATATCCTGGATGTTACTGAAGGTAGGTAATAAAACTGTCATCACTTTGCTCTATAGAGGAGCTTATCTTACTTATCACAATACAGAGTAAATGCAGCGGGCACAGGGCAGTAGTTGCATCTGCCACTGCTGGTTGATCATCTTTCTCTCACAGTTTGTTGTCAACAAATTATCAGAAGTTCCACCAGTTTTCAGTTCCTCTTAGGTCTTGTGTATCTTATGACCAAATGAAGTTTTGGCATTCTTAGAAAGAGGAAGTTCTATAAAAAGGACTGAGTCTATACCTGAACTTTCTCTGTTCCTCCTCAAAAATTTGACTTGAGTACACATAAGTTATAGACATGTAGGCTACATAAAAAGAGGTAATGGTATAAAAAGGAGCTTTGTTAAATGTAATAAAATGCTATCATGTCTCATGATGCTTCTCTCAGTAATGAACCATCTCTGTGTTTCGTTCAACCCGACAGGCTGGCTGGGCACGCACCCTGATCTGGAGAGCCAACCAGTGGGTGATGATCCACATGTTCCACTGTCGCATGGTGCTCACCTACTACATGTGGTGGGTAACCTTGACCAACTGGGGGGAGATCAGCACCCATGTGGCCCTCCCCCAACGCCTGCTGTTCTTCTCTGGCCTCGGTCTGCTCACTGTTATCATCAACCCCATCTGGACGCACAGGAAGACCATGCAGCTGCTCAACCCTGTGGACTGGAACTTTGGCAACAAGCCGGCTCCCCTAAACGGTGGTGCGAAGGACCGTTCAAAGATTCCTGTCAAACCTCATGCCAGCTGAGGAGTACCAAGGAGGTCAATTCTCATCTGACTGATATCATAATTTTTTTAACCTGTTTTTCTTTCATAATGGAGGTGTGAGGTGACTTTTGGTGTGGTGATAGTAAGATGGATATTCTTAAGATTTAGAACTCTTAAGTCCCTGGTCTGGTACCACATAGATACATTTTGCTACACTGCCTTCCATCAGGGTTTACTTTCAGGCAGTTTTCATGTAGGTTTTTTTTTTGATCATCTTAAGTAAAGAGTATTTATTTTCCATCTGATTAGCTCTTCATAGCTAGGTGTGGTTGTGTAAAGCATGCGGGGCCCTGCTTGTTTGTGTGGCCTTCACAACACTGTTGTGAAATGTCGTCTTTAACAGTCATGTGATTGGTTATTTATTGACACTAGGAAAAATATGTGAGAGAGGATCTTGCAAGAGCCATTCAGTAGCACAAACTTACAAATTAAAATCTTGTTTATTTGAAGGCAAAATCAGCTTATAGAGTCAATAGTTGTGACTTTTTTATATTAAATTGGAAAAAACACAAAATTTAAAAGAAATGTAAGCTTTTGAAGCTACTGTACAACTGTAGTATTTAAAGATTTACATCCTGTCTTGATGGAGGAGGTATTGTACTATATATCTCTTTGTTTGCCCACAGTTGCTTCTGGTTTATTGCTGTTAATAGTGAAGTCCAGTTGTTCTGTCAGGTAAATGACGACTAGTAGCAACATGTTCTGCGCTTGGGGATACAACATGCGGAAGACAGGAGAGGTTATACTCATTCTCAGTAGTCACCAAACCACTCTAGTAAAGTCATGTCAAGAATTTGGCCTTCGTCATCTGTAGCACCAATGGTGCTTTTTCAACAGACAGTTATTTAGCACTGATTGGGCAGTGTGGACTGGAAAACTGAGTTACAGTTAAAGAATTAGGTTCTGAAGGTTGGTTACTGGAACTATTAGATACAAAGTGGATAATTGAATCAGTCAAATCATGAGTCACATCCATGAATCCTCTCTCAGCAGAGAGGGAACTGTTTATTGTGGTCATGAAAGAGAAGGCGGTTAATTGAATTTTCTTTTCTGGTGGACGAAAGCTCCAGACTTTACTCCACAAAGCCTCTGTTGTCCAAAATGAAGATGTAATGTGACAAAACTGAAGCAGTATTAATACAGACTAACCAAGCATCAGTTTCATCATGCTTGTTTTTGGTGTTATGAGTGAAAGTAATTTAAACTAGAGATGTTTTAATAAAGTAGGTGTTTCTTTCTACTGAAGCTTCTTCAGTATTTCAAAAAGATTTTGGTTTTGTGTTTTTCCACACAATGGCTTCATTGTACATGAAGCCTTGGCCTTGATTATTTGGTTTGTCTGTTGTCATTTATCTGGCACAGGAACTGTTCAGTCAGTTGTCACTGCAAATGCTGCAAACTTTCAGATCCTCAGTGTGCTGGCTGAAACATCATTGCTACTGTAGCTCATGTCTAAGTATGTAAGTAAGCTCTAGATTTTTAGAAATTTCAGTTTTTATTTTTTCTTATTTTGTCTGCATTCCTAAACTTGAACAGCTGGATCTACACACCTAATGACATCTGTTAATAGCATTTTAAAATATTTTCATCAGTTCTGTTATAAAGTAGATCATTAATTTTTCTTTTATTGTATATGTGATGTTAATATATGTACTGCAAAAATGATTAACACCAAACTGTCATATTTACACTTTGCATTAATTTGTTATAACGTCATAAAAACACTGTACTGTAACACAATGGGATGGTTTGGGGGATTATGTATTAATTCTGTGCTGTTAAACATCCTGTTTCTATTAGGAAATGCATTAATTAGAGTTACTTTGAGTTTCATATTAAAATGTTTACTCACATACAATGTTGTCCGTTTTAAGGCTGTGCTATAGAGACTGTGCCTGTAGGTGGCAGCATGGGAATAATTATCTCATCAGATATGTTGTATGTTTCGTCGTTTTTGGCGTAACCATACATCCTTGAGTTTGAAACATTTTTTCACTGTATGGTTTATTGTCTTCAAAGCATCACCACAGACTGGCATATTTTACTGAGCTGGTAGATGTTTTTCAAAATCAAATCAATAACATTTACAAAAAACCAAGCAATACATGAAAAAAAATGAGCGTGGTTTTCCCCCAAAACTCAAAGTGTTGGGGAAAGACGCGCCGTTTTATATTCAATCCTAGTTTGAAACAGGGGTGTGGGGTGGGATGTGTAAATTTATGTGAACACAAGACTCACAGAGTTCGACAAAACTTTAATGCAACATCATCTCCGGACAGCTGTTTCGAGGGGAGCCACCTCACACATCACGTGGGCAGCTCGGAACTCCACTGTGAGATCCAGCAGGAGAAGACGTTGGAAGCTTGATTGGTGTTCCGTACAGCCAATCAGAGTCTCCCCAAGTCTACCCGCTGGCCAATCAGCGGCTAGGAGGAGGGTAAAGAGTTTTCATGGATGGAGTCAGCTTGCAACGAAGAGTCTGAAGTTAAAAGAGGGACACTAGGCAAACGCTGGATGTGTTTTGATGTATTTTTAAAGTCGTGTCGAAGTCAAAAATGCGCCACGTTTAACACTTGTACGGTGTTACAGCAGAAGGATAACGTCATTCTTTTGGGGAAAAGTCATACAATGGTGAGTTGAGGACATTTTTTTTACGTTTCTGTCAAAGTTTTAAACAGCCCTAACTTAAGTGTTCTGCCATCTGTTTTTTTCTCAGGTGGGCTTCAGTGTAAAGCCAATTATTTATTAACCCCAAGAGAAATGTTTCTTTTGTGTATCATAGTGACTTTACGTGTATTTTGTTTTTAAAACTGTGTATTGGGAGATGGCTATAACGTGGCGCCTTAGCTACACTGCCAAGTTTGCAACACTCAACTACCTGCTATGACAAAGACAGTCACTCATTTTGTCCACACAGTTATGTTAATTAACGCGTCCTAATCTCGAAATTAACTGTTTTAAGACCAAAACTAAACTTTTCTTTTTTGTTTAACATGTTAACTCAACAGGATATTAGCATATTTCCTCAGGGTTCGACTCTGTCATTAACATTTTTGATACATGTCTCTGTTTTGAGCACAACCTCAAACTTTTCTTCAACCTCCTGCCCCTCTTCAAGGATGCAGTTGCAGGTGCAAGATAGCCTTTTGCCATTTATAATAGTGATTTAAAAGCATGTCAAGTTGCCATCTTGATAATAACCATGATTTCATTCATACACAACTTAGATATAGAAAATATAAGAACTTTATTACTAACATAAAATCATTAATGAGTGGGGAAGTCTCCCTGAGCTGGAGCAGTCAACCCAGCTACAAATTCAAGTAGTCATGCATAGCATTCCTCAGTGAAAGGGCTGCACAGCTTCAGTCAACTGGAAGATTAGTCTAAACAGGTAGTAAAACCATAATTTAATTAAACTATTTCCTTCAGTAGGTGCCCCTCTGCACAAAAAACAGCCAATTGCTTCCAGGAATCTTTAAAGCTTAGCAAAGCCCCCAAAGGATGGTTTAAATACAAAGAGTGCTTTGATCTTCATTTGTATTGTCTGGTGTCATGCATGTCCAGTTTACTCAGCCAATACATGGATGAGTTAGAACATTCAGGGGGTCACACACACACAGACACATGCAAGTACACAAAAGTCTCCACTGGTAATTTGTTTAGCAAATAACCAGGGTGGCCTGGCTGCAAATACAGATCCTTAACACCTCGACCCACTGTAATAACACCTAGGGAAGGCTGTTAAAGGAGCACAAGGCAATTCTTTCCTCGCTCAAATTTACTGCTTTCTAATGTAAGCACTCAGGTGAGACATGTAGACACACAGAGCTCTTTATGTGTGACACTTTCTCCTCATCAAACCACAACTGCCTTGAGTGTGAATGTTTTCGTAGACCTCTTAGGAAAAAAATATTGATGTTTTGAGGAAAGGAATGTTGGCAATCAATGTTAACACTATTTGCCATGTCTGTAATGTAGATGCCTTGGGAGACAGTATGTTAGCATCCTATCATTCCTTTATTCATCAGCATGAAAACGTGGTATAGCCTGGGACTGCAGTATCTTCATCTGTCATGGTTATAGTCAACACAGATGTAGTTTAGTGGAGAAATGCCAGGGATTGCTAATTGCTAAAGTAATTGTGACCAGCCAGTGACTCTTCTTTGCCAGTAGCGGCTCATGGAAATGTCTTCTGTTTACCATGACTAAGCTTGGGGTTCCAGAGTACACAGTGGTTGAGCAGAGGAGCATACCATTCATTTTTAGAAAGGCAGTAATGGATTCACTGTCCACCCACAACCCCTGCAATGATCCACGGAGATAATCCATGTATTTGTAACATAGTTCAGCAACAGCTGGGGGAAAAAAACACTGCTCTAATCTGCAGGTGGATGTGAGAAATTGCTCACATACCACACACTTGTTTAGCAGCTGGGAACATGTGTCTGATACATTTAGAGCTAGAATTGACCTGGGAACATCAGTTAAATTGTATATGGTAGGCATCATAGATCCCGCAATCACCAAGATGTCTGATCCCTCTGTTCCATTGCCCTTGTAAGTGCCATGCTCTGTGAATTGAGAAATACTCTTAGCAGCCAAGGAAAATCGTAGGTCATTGGCAATCTTGGCTTCAGACAGTGGCTCAACACTTTGAAGTCAGTGCATTGACCGGTACACTGACGATTAAATTGCAGTTTCCTGCGCTCATTTATTGTAATCTGAATGAGCTGCTCTATTCATATTAAAATGCCTTCAGAGCTTAATTCCAGCCAGGAAACAAAAGCTCTTTGGAGCAGCCACTTATCCACTGCTCACCAAACACTATATAGTGCTCTTCTGTTGACATGCTGGGCTCTCAAAGCTCATTGGGTGGGTGGAGACCAGTGACAGCCAAGACTGCGACTGCCTCTGTTTTCAAATGGACACCACATTCGAAATATTATGCAGACCTGATCTTTAATTTTGTCCAGTGATGCCCAATCAAGGAGGGCCATATCAGTATTTTGTCTCTTTAATTGAAAACAGAATCTGCCTCCAAGTTAAGGTCAATACGAAAACTTACCATTACGATTGTAATGAAAAAATGTCATACAGCTGTTATAGTAGGGATCTTCCTAGGCGTATAATGGGGTAATTTAACGCTGTGTGATGCATCGTAATGTTCACACTACATACTGTAATGTGATGGATGACACCATGCAGTAATGGGCAATTGTGGTAACTCAGCATCGACCACATTTGGTTTATAAACGTGGCTTCAGTGCTTGCAGCTGACATGCAATTCCCTCACGTGTCCAATAGCTCATACGTCTCACATCAGATAAAAACCACTGCAGATCAGCCGGCCCGCTTATTGAAGTGTATTTTTCTACAATCCACACCCATTAGGCCTGTAATTATAATTGGTAGCTGACAGGGAATACCAGAACCATCCTCTGGTTGGGTTATTCAGTGTGTTGAGGGTAGGTTATATTACACTGAGTGGGGGATCGAATGGAGGCGTAAACTCTCTGCCATGCATGAGAAAACTTTTGGCTCTACAGGAACAAAAGGAGGTGTAATTATATGGAAGATTGTTTGCTTATCTGTTATTTATTATGATGTGTCTATGAATATGTTTTCAATTTGTCCTTTGCTGATCGCAACAGCAGTTTCAACAAGTCAGGGCTCTCACTTTTTAAAGTCAGCTATCTTGTGCCTGTCTCGAAGCTTCTCCACCCCTTTTGAGGTCAGGGTGGGTGGTGAAGTGTGGTGCGTTGTCAAGACTGGTTGGCCCAGATACTGAGATTCTGCGAATGTTGATCCAGTATGAGCTACAGAGCTTTTGAGTTGAGATTCAGGATACAGGCTGTCACCATGTTGTTCACAATACAAAGAACTAAAAACAGTGGGTGTTAAGGTTGGTTAGCTCAGTTGCTCAGAGTGTGTTTTTTTTAGTAATGCCATGAGAGTTTGATGGAGGTTTGATATCTGTATGGGCCACAGATCCTTTTAGCCAATGGTCTACAGCACCTATGAGAATCCGATAACAGTACAAGCAATATAATAATATGTAATAGTGGGACATCATCAGTGCAAGTTCTTTGTAGCAATAGAGACTAGAGACTAAGACTAGAATGCGGTACCTTTTTTCCTTTTTAGTATGCTGCAGGGCACTGTCCTGTCCTCCCCTGAACCTCCCCGCAAATACATCACAGTGCTTTGCTAAGCCTGTCCGTCCACTCTTTGTAGGCCTGGGATCTGTTGTTTTCGGTTGAGGCCTGATTACTGTAAGCCTGGTAGAAGGAGAAGATTAGGACACACTGCTCAATAAAACAGCCAGCCAAAGAACTGCAAAGCCAAAGACAGACACTCACAGCAGACTACAAGTCTGTCTCTCTCAACTCCCTCTCCTCCAGGCTTTTGTTTATGACTTTCAGTCTGTGCGTGGAATGCCACTTGTCATTAAGTGTGGTACAGAAAACTCTACAGAAGAATCAAAACCCCTTACCAACCAGGCTGTTTGACGTAGAATAGCTCTCAGCAACACACACAATTAATTTTCAACAGATCTCCGGTTGCCATAAGTAATGGCTAATTGTTTTGTTTTTTTGTAGTTTTTTCCCAGGTTGGAAACTATAGGGAAATTATAAGATATCTGTGATGTAAACTATGGACAAATGTATAAATATGTTCTGTCTGTTCTGTGATTTTGTCTCCGTAAGTCCCATCATTCCTTGATTTTTTTTTCTCTTTAGATGACGTCATTTGTCCATATCATGAATTTAGAGAAATGTGATGTTGCTGGAGCATACATGCTCTCAACCTATCCTCGATTTAAAAAGTTTAAATAAACTATTAAATAAACTATAATAAACTAATACCCCCTTTTGCAGTCTGAAATGGGGGAGAAATCCCTGTGAAATGTAGTAAATGTAGAGTTAATGTACAATAGTATCTGTCTCAGGTACCTCTAAGTTAACATTTAAAGTGCCATTCCACAGACGGCTGTAGAATTGTATTTATGACTAAACATAGGTGGCAATTTATCCTCCACAATGTAGATTATGTTGACAATTTGTATCGTACGTACATATTGTCAACATGTTTTTTGATCCTTGTCGTTGTCTGTTCTTTCACACAGGTTATTAGGAAAACACATTGTGAACAAATTGTCTGCATTACACCAGCAGGCCAGATGACTGTTTTCCTGTCTGCAAAGCACAGCTCAGCCTTCCCAACATGTAATGACATGCTCAGCTGAGTCTGTCATCAACTATATGGCTGATTTTACATCTCTGGTCTTCCGCTCTGTCCTCAATCATTGCTCTCAGATTAGACTGGAATACAGTACCTTTTTATTAGATACTGAGCAGATTAGCAGAGATTGTTATTGCATGCTGAGGAATGTTTTCTTGCCTCTCTGTGAGGGTTCACAGACTACACATACTAACCTGCTTGTGTTGCACAATGTATCACTTTACAACGATGCAGTATACACAGGCTGCTGACGGATGCTAGAGATGTAGGATTTTGTTGAGATGGTCATCTCCATGGGGTGAGCCAGGTGCTTGTGTGGTGCACACCACACTTGATGTCACACCACACCACAGGTCATGCAGGATGTAATTTGCAGAAAGGGGCATTTAGTTTTCTCCCAAGAAGCAGGTAAAAAGACGAAATCAGATCAGACTAATTATAGGAGAGAAGAGGATTGGAGGAATTTGCAAACTGGTTTCAAAGCAGAAGTGAGAAAGGCTGTCTTTCCTTCTCGACTGATGTGTGACAGGGCAATCAAACGCTGAGCCAGCTCCTCTAGAAGACAATAAATGTCATCGTGTTGGCTTGATGCACACTTTTAACAGACAATGTGGTTTCTCTCCTTTGTGCCTCAGCTTCAAGAGAGCACACCTGAATATTTGGCTTCTTTTCCCCTCCCTTCCTTCCTTTTTCCTGCTGCCCTAGACCTTGAACAGTGCATTTGAAGGGAGAGATGAGTCACTCTTCAAAGCTCCTGTCAGGGCAGGGCTGTTAGTTCTGACTTCAAAATGTGTCAGTCAGTTTACAACCATGTTTCAGACTCGTACATAACTTTTCTCAGGCTGTGCAATATATAACCTAAAGACAGCCTCATCGTCAGTCATACTATTTAACATTATAGCTTCTTTTGGTCGTCTCCTCTCTATTGTGTTGGCTATTTCTCCTCAGGCTATGCATACTCTACCTGCCTCTGTTAGTGCTAGCATTATCTGTCAGTCGCACTGTATTCAGCAGACACTGGCCCTGTGTGCTCACATCCACTGTTCTGGCCTTGTGCCCTGTGAATAGGGTGGAGGACAAAGAAGCAGAGGATTTCACATTATTTGTAGACAAAACAAGCTTTGAGAATCAGAATGAGTTATCTTTTGGATCTTGTTTGCTGCAATACTGTGGTGTGCGTTTGTCTTAGTCAGAAGTAGACTGTTGTAAACTTATGTTGTGGTTTGTATTCAACTGTAGAGACCCATTGCATGGGTAGAATATGGGACATACGTACCACTACAATGGCTGCTTTATGCTACAGCATGATGTCATGACTCTGTCATCTGTTTTTGTGGATACTAACAAGCTGAAGAAGTCTGGAAGTAGAGCAACTTTTTTTTCTAGAGGAGGCCTTTGACAGAAACTGTCACCTCTGGATACGAATTGTACATCATCAAACAAAGGCTGTGCTGCTGAGGAATGCAATGTCTCTCATGCCCATGCAGGTCCAAAGGTCTCTCCTGCCTCAGCATGCTAATGACATTTCCCTGGGCCAAAATGTGTGGTTGCTGTTAAGTCAAAATGTCACATTGACCTCTGCACCTTAAATGCTAATACATACTGTGATTTAATTTCAAATAATGTTAAAAGCCAAATCTAATAGTAGAATATTTGTACCTGGGTTAACCTACGGACATGATAATAATCCTTGGGTTTTAGTTTACATTGATCTATTTTTCACAGCCTGTGGGATAATGTAACCTTTTCGAAAATCAAGCAAGAGAATATATTTTTCTGTGTTTTAACAAAAAACACTTCAAAGTGAAAGAAGTAGTGTTTCCCTTCAGCTGTGTTTACTGTCTGATCTACATTTGTGATCTACACTCTTATCTTGAAGAAAGTGTGTAAATTTCTAATATAACTACTTGTGGGAAACCAATCGATTTAAGATCTCTAGTAAATATGTACATTTTGATAAAGGCTGAGCTGAGTAAACTGATGAAGGGATGTATGTAGCCTTAATCACCACAATAAGCAAGAGTTGAAATCTGAACATAAACCTGCTTTGAATAACTTTGTTTTAACCAGAGAAACCCACGCTGCCCTTGTTTTCATAATGGTTACTCCACAGGGTATGGCCTATCCATTATAATGGTGGCCAAGCTCCTTTATACCCATGACATGACTCACGCCCACAATTTGCAAATGAGAATGTTGTGTACACTTAAACACGTGGTAGTGTCAACAGCCCCCAGGAACGCTATAAGAGCTTCTTTTGTTTTCATTCATTTGTCTGAATTAGTTGTGGTTCAGATTCTGCTGTTGACACAAAAGGTACCAGACCGTGACCACAACACAGCCATGCTCCTCTGGTGATGAACTGCTGCTGTGATTAAGTAATGTGGAATAACAAGTGTGGTTGGGCTTTCGGAGACTGAGTGGTTTACATAGGCCGGCCCAGAAATGCCAAACTCATGATGTATGGAAACATTCTTCAGAGCTTAATTAATTTGGAAATATGTGTGTATCAACCCACCTATTTTGCCATTTTATGACGTTTGTCTTTTTCCTTTAGGAATGTGTGTCAGCGTAGTTGATCCCCTGCATGCAGTGGTCTGAAGAGCTTGTGCCGGAGAGGAGCAGCAAGCATGGATGTGGAAGACTTTCCTCCCCCACCTCCTGAAAGTAAAGTCAACAAAGCTCTGTCACTCACACAGCTATGCACTTTGCCTTAACTTCACAGAGTAACTTGAGCCATATGGATGAAGGAAGGCGGTCACCATGGGCCGGTTAGCTCAGTTGGTTAGAGCGTGGTGCTAATAACGCCAAGGTCGCGGGTTCGATCCCCGTACGGGCCACAAACGCCAAGGTCGCGGGTTCGATCCCCGTACGGGCCACAGCTTTTGAGTTGAGATCTGGGTAATTGAATGAAGTGATTATAGACATAAAGGGGGGCCACAACAAATTAACATTAGACATTGAATATACTAGTCTAAAGACACAAGTGCAGTTGAGTTTCAAAACATTGATGGAGAGCTGAGAGGACATTTTGAGATGCTATATGGCTAAACTCCAGACAACATTGTGTTGATACTGTTATTCTCGTCACGTTTCGTGTTTTATTTTTTTATTGAGAGTTTAATCATTATAATAGTGTCATCTGCTAGCTTCTGTAGGTCATCTTGGTCAGATCACTTCCTGGAGGGGTTGCTGAAGCTGGACAGTATGAGTAAACAACACGGATTCCTCTTCTCCACTCCTCCGCCACTGTGGAATATGTGGGTGGAGGAGCAAGGGAGTAAGGAGGGTAAAATGTGCTGCGCTGCTGTGAACACCAGACAATGTGCCTCAGTATTATGCTGAATACTGCTGCAGCAGCACACACGCACATCCACACACAAAAAAACGCACTCACACAGCCTCCGGGGATAGACACGGGCCAGAGAAATGCTTCGTCTCCAGCTGGCCAGTCACTTGCTTTGTTGCCAGGGCGATGCTGGAGCGGATCGTAACCCAGTGACTCATTTGAGCAGACCATTATGAAGCAGTGTGGAGATAAGCCCACCGAACAGAATCCATATTGTGGTTATGAATTGACAATGGGAACTTCAGCTAGGCCATGGTTGTGTGTCAGTGTGCACATTCATACACTTGTATATATATTCCTCCATGAGCTTGTAGTTTGCGTTCTCACAAGAATAGAAAGATATTTTATTCCCAGTTCAGGGCTGGGGTATGATTGTAGTTTAGAAGGACAAGACAATCCTCATATGAGTGGTTATGCATGTTTGTGTGTGTGCACACGTGTGGTTACACTGTAAGGTCAGCATCCAGGACAGTCTCTGTAATTAAGCTGCTGGCATGCATTCCCACACAGCCAACTGTCAATGGCCTCATGTACACATAGTTGCAGATGTACTATTGAAGGGCTAGTTGTGATTAACCATCTGGCCAAATCCAATCAAATCAAGTCCTACTCTGTTCTGGCACAGTCAAGTGTTTCGCATTGACACCACAGAGAGGGGATCTGAGTGCATATTAAGTATTGGCATATGACATAAACCCCACAGTCCTGGAGTACCACAGGCTGTTAGTCAGCTAGCTGTGACTTATCTCTGCGGCCCACACCATTCATTACTACACAGATGGAAAAAGACTGATAGCATCTCTGTTTCTAGGTTTGCTCTTTACACGTCTCGTTTCTTTCACCTTTAGTCACGGGTGCAGATGGACATGAGGTCACAATGTTGACCTGGAACGTTAGTAACAGACCGTTTCCTCACACACTGAGTACAGGGTGGTACAGCTACCTGTCAAAGCCTGGGGGAATTGTACTGGTGATTTAGAGCTGTGTATGTTGCTGTGAGGAACTTCAAAGTTATTGGGTCTTGCTACAGGGAGTTTCTTGATTTACTTGGTCACTATCAGTGGACTACTCAGGCCTGGAGGCAGAACACAGCATGTTACAACAGTGACTGTGGCTCATTTGATGGTAATGGTGTGTAAAGAATAACCTTATCTGCTAAACTATAAATGACCACATAAATGCCTGAGTTAACTGGGTAAGGCAGGAAGTTGGACATTAAACTAATATTGCAATGTGTCCAAAGGAAACGCTGTAGCTTAGGTATTTGGGAAAACTTCATATAGGATTTACATGGGCATGTATCTCCAATGAAGTGGAAGAGGGAAAAGGACAGGTCAAAAATGCCGAAACCCGGGATCGAACCAGGGACCTTTAGATCTTCAGTCTAACGCTCTCCCAACTGAGCTATTTCGGCTGTGTGGCTTGCATGAGGATATCTCATGCACATGTCCTGGAAATGAACTCATTCAGACTTGGAATTTTCTGTTTTGTTTGGGAACACGGTCAGGATATGAGAGTAAGACTTTAGACTGTAGGCTAATACAGTCAAGCTGTGACTACTGATGAAAGTGCTCACAAAGAATCCACGGTATGCTTGCAAGTAAAACTGTGACAAAGATTGAGTATCATTCTTAGAGGTTAAAGGAACCACCCTAAAGGAAAATCAGCAACCCTATGGAGAAGCTCAAGGGTTGGTGGTAATAAGAGTTTCTTCCACTCAGGCTCTGTGGTTTTGGCTCAGTTTATGCTTCTGTGAACCCAGTTTAGCTGATGAGCCAATATTTTCCACAGTATTGAATTGAAATTTCTTTCTGTCTTTTTTTTTTTTAATATTTGCTGTACTCTTTTTTGTTTCACTACACCACTGAATGAAAACTAATATACTGCCTTTACACATTCAGCTCTTAGTGCCAGAACACAAAACCAGCTGATGCAAGTTGAGCCTGTGCATTCCTAATCTTGATTTTTATTGAGATCCACTGACCCAGGGCCACACTCTATTCATCAGATCAGAAAAAAAGCATAAACCCAGGCTGCACTACTCACTGAGGGGAGTAACAGCTCTCTTTCCTGCTGGCCTAATTGCAGTGTGGAAACTGGAAAGACATTTGTTGTTCCCTTCCTGTCTTCTGCCAAGTGAGCGCTCTGATGTGAACGTGACGCCTTTGAACACTAACTATATTTTGTAGCTCTGCCCTAGTTGGTTTTTTGCTATAAATTAGAGCAGCTGATGTTCTGTTTGGTGCGAATCCTTGATGTAAAAAATTCTGTTAAGAAAACATACTGCTGTAGTAGACCCCACCCTTAATTATAAGTCTGCATGTGGTTCAGTCCTGTAACTTTAACAGCCCAAGGTCTAGAACTGCCACCCACAGTGTATCTGTAAACGGTCTCTGAAGTAGTCTGTGAGTGAAATAATGTGATTATTGAACTAAAGCCTACCTCAATTTAACATCAAATCCCAAAAACATACAGTGCGATATGATTACTGTCATTCAAGTTATGTAACTTATTAGTCTAAGCTAATTTGTGTGTTCCTTTTTTTTTGTATAAAGACTATATGTGACTGTTACAGTAGACAAACAGGTCACAAGTTTTCAGAAGTTTACACATTAGCGCTTTGTGTGCAGTTTCGTTGACTTTACATACTGTAACATAAGGATTCACATGTAATCGTCTCTTAAGGACTTCTTTTCTCAAGGAAACGTTAATTGCTATTTGGTGCAAAGCAAATACTGCGTTTGGTTACTGTTGTAATCATGCTCTTTCACATAGGTTCTATCTAGGGAATGAATTTGCACTTTTGGATATTTTTCATTTTTTCTAGTTGGACTGGTGATATAAATCCCCGCCCACACTATATTTCAATTGTTATAGCGATGTGTATCACAATATTGTGAATGTTCTGGAAATTTGGATGAGATGCTGTTTATGGGTGAAATAACTGTATGACAATAATGAATAATAATTGCAGCATTGCCACCAACATCCCAGTATTTTAAAGGGATAGCTACCTCAGTAGAGATGAAATCTTCACCATATTAGGGCTTTTACAATAACAGACTGGTGAATTGCGACACATATTGCCCAACTCTAATCCAGCACTCAACATCTCCTCCTATCTCTGTTTCCAGTGTTGGCAGACAGCGTCCCTTTGGCAGATGACGATGAGGGAGAAGCCTTCGACTTTGATGACAGCGGCGATGACGTCCCTGAAGCTGACCGCTCACCCCCTGTACCTCCAGCTCCTCCAGCCCCCAGCAGCAAGGATCAGAGCCAGGACAGCCTGGTGGCCAGTCATCCTGAGGGCCATCTACCCATCCCGGACCCCCCAGCGCCTACCCCCACATCCGACACAGCTGCATCATCAGCGGTTGCCACAAGTGGAGCCACCGCGGCAGGTGGAGCAACAGAAGAAGGAAAGGGGACATCTGCTGTTGAGGGGACAGATGACAGAGAGACAGATTTACCTCTACCTCCACCCCCTCCTCTTAATGATGAGGCAGAGGCAGATCCTGGAAGAACAGGTTTGCCGCTCAAAAGTGTTGACATTTTGTTGTTGGCTCTAGGGAAGTGAGAGTATTTGAGCCCATTTTGGCCTTTCCTTGGGGCAGAGACTCCTCTACACTACAGTTGCGTTTCACCATTAGTTAACTGCAGATAATGCCTTGAATACGTGTGATGTTTTCTGGCAGTGGTCAAAACTTCTCCACATTCTCCTGTTGTGCTTTGTGTACCTTATCCGGCTCTAATCCAGCCCCTTCAGCTCAGGCTCAAGTGAGGCTGTTAAGTGGGGCAGTCTGTCTCTCTCATGACACCTTGTATCTCTGGCAGCGTGGTGTCGGAGGCTGTCTGGCTTTTATCACACAAAGTTGTGACAGCGGCAGCAGGAAGGGCTAGGCTCTGTTTATTCTCACTCACTCATTCTGTAGTACTGCACTGAAGCAAAGAACTTATTTTTCAGCTTGTGCCCCTAGAGAATTCATGATTTGAAAAAGTGAGGTTCATCCAGAATGGCTTTCGAATAGTGTCCTCTGAGAGTCTAAAACTCAAATCTGTTCTAACAAAGATCGAATCAAATGGAATATTTTTTCCAACTCAAAATAGGGCTTTTTGGAGTGGAGGCCCTGTACCGATCCGTTTGTTGTACATGTTAGAGCATTAGTGGTTTACACATGAGCTCTGAGCAAATGCCACTGACTGTAACCTTTGACAACAGTCTAAAAGGTTTCAGTTTCATAAGTACTTGATTAATGAAATCACTTTAATAGAACATGAAGGCCAATGATTGAAAATAAATGTGCATACGGCCAACTAAAAATAAACCAAATTCAAGCAATGCCACGCATAGCAAAGAATTGCTTCCAACTGTGATTGGCATAAAGTTTACAACTGGCAGTCAGACACACCTTATTTAAGTACATGAAAAAGGCAGTAATGTATATATGCTCATCATGATGGTGCGAAAGTTGTAGGTTCAAACCCTGTCCCACAATGATGAATTTAGGTAGTAGGTGTGATCATTTTTAAAACAGGGTGTGTATAGACTGGGTCTGTGTCTGTAGTTGTCTCAAAAGTATATTTATAATCAAATTAAGTACTGTGTAATTACAAGTAAGCTACATCTGCATGGTATTTTTACATTGTTGTAATGTGCTAATCACTGACTGTATGTGTAACTGTATAAGTTAACTGCATCCGATTTCTCTCACCAGGCAGTGAAGGCCAGGATCCATCCACTGATGACCCTCACCCTCCGCAGGCCGTCCCCAGGACCTCCTCCCAGGGCAAAGTCAACCCCTACTCTGTGATTGACATCACCCCTCTCCAGCTGCAGCAGCTTGAGCAGCAGCATGGCCCCTCCTCTTCAGCTTCCTCACCAATGGAGCCCAAGGAACAAGAGGAAGACACTCAAGATATCAACACTAGCCCTGTTGGCATCACTTCAGGATACTCAGTCCCAGTGCCCTGTGGCTATGCAACCCCCTCTGGTGTCCCACTCATCACACCAACTTACACCACACCTGTCATCATTCGACACCTCTCCATGGATGAGGATGGTAAAGTAGAGTGTGCAGGGGGGATACTTTTATATCTAAATTTTGATTCATAAAATAGTGATGATAATAATGTATTTATAGATAGTGTTTTTTTTTTAACATCCAGGTCACCTTAAAATTCTGTGCATATCTGGGTTACTGGGGTGGCATTCTCCACCACTCTCTCCCCTTAGTTCCTGTCATCTCTTCACTTTCAACTTTCTAATACAGACATAAAACGCCCGAAAAATACTTGAAACTGTTCTCTGCGTAGCAAAACTGTCTATTGTGCTCTGTTTATGTTTATCCTGTCCTTTCAGCAAGATTTTCCTCATCATACACAAACCTAGAGATACAAGGCCGTCACACCCAGCTACTTCACTGCTGTCTCCTTTCTTCTTTCTCTTGTTTTTCCTAAAGCCTTGCCACAAGGAAGTAGTGACTAAATTTAGCCCTCCCCAAAGATCTGTGTTGGCTGTAAGGATTTTCCGGTTTCCCTAAAATCTTGCAGTAGCTGTGTCCAAGCCTGTGGCCTGGCAGTCTGAGGAGTCTGATTACACTGTATTTATCTCATCAAGGTCACAGTGAAATAGTTTTGAACCATGTAGGTTTGTATGATAATGCACAAAATTATTTACATTTGTGCTGTGTTGGTTTTTATCTCAGTGACTTTTTGACCACGATATGCTGAGCCAGGACATTTTTACTACAATCACTACTTTTGCCATGACAAAACTCACTAGAAAAACAGGTTAGTCTTATCATTGAATCTTAAATTACATGAGCGTGTGAATTGAAATTCATGAAAGCACGTTTTCAAGTAAACGTCATCTTGACTAAACCATAGGTAATGTAGGAAACATGGAATCGTCAGTGACATCTGGTGGCGTCATATGAAAAAAGTCAACACAAGAGTTCCTAAATCTTGGTATCAGGAGGTCTTTTGGAGTTTCTTGACATGGATATGCCGATTTCTCAAGAAAAATGTGTATAATTTGTTTGAAAAAAAACACTTTGTTTTTGTAGAAACAGGGTTTCAGAAAAGAAAACATATAGTCTTATGGTTTTTTGCTGTGTAATGTTTTCTCTTTTTCCTCCTTCAGTCACTGTGGTTGGGACCGGCAACACCTCTGCTGACAGGTGTGTGACAGTCAGAGCATGTCTATAGCAATCATTAATACATTTAGTGTGATATGTTAAGAATAATATATATATATAAAAAGTATACTCCCACACATAAAGTTACAGTTATAGTTATTGACAATTGATAATACATAGATTAAATCACTTTTACTTATACAGGAAATTATAGAATTATTAATAGATTTTCTGACATAATACCGACAATGAAGATATTCATTTGTAGAGATACATTTTTGTTTCCATGTTTTTCAAGTGTTTTCAGCGAAGAGTATCCACCTATTAGAGAAGAGGATGCTTTGGCTAAATGGGCATCAGATCCTGCCAACACTGCGTGGATGGAAAGTAAGGAATGACATCCATAATTAATGTACATCTTGTAGAGATGCATTTATAATTCCCAAGGAGACAATACTGGTGTTGTTTCAGTTCTTTGGACTTGCTTCACAGTGTATTCCTTCAGCTTGCTATTATCTCGTTTTTCTTTTGACACAGCTGAATTCCCAGACACTTCCTTCCCTGTTCTTTTGAGGAAGCAGACCCTTGTGTGTGCCTGTCTTTTAGATCCCTCTCACATTACATCCTGTTTGTTGTGTGAACAGCCTAGCTATGTGATATAAGAAATCAGGCATTAGCTCTTTTGAATGTTTGTTTCGTGGCTCAGATCCAGATGAGGTGATTTATGATGACGTGCCCAGAGAGAACTCTGACTCCAACACAGGTTTGTGAAATTTCTTTTTCATTCCTTCATTTCACAAATTCAATATTTTAGTTCCTGCCTGTAGCATTAAGCCTATCAGGGTTGCTCACTTTCACTTTTAGTTTCCTTGCCTTTTTTATTTTTCAAAACTGGGATACTTGAATTATTCATTTAGGCTTTTGAATGTAAAAATGTTATTAAACATTAACATTATGGTGATGTTGAGTGTTTGGGCTTACAATCCACATCAGCCATTCAATTAAAAATTACCCTCTGTGAAGCTTATGATTTCAGTAGTTTTTGTTGCAGCTGTGAAAAAAATAACAGGAACACCCTATGATACAATGCAATGCAATGCCACAAAGCTATGGCATCAGAAATGACCATGTAAAATGAGCACTTTTCTACTCTCTGCACAAATTGAGCATTATCAGCTTTACAAAAACAATATTGATTTCAAGGCTATTCAATTTCAGTGCGGTATATTGTTATAATGTTTATCTACATGCACAGTACATGATCTGAGTCTGAAGCTGAACTGAAAATATATTTTCTCTGTCTGTCCTGTTTTTTTTCATACAGATCCAGATGAGATGATCTATGATGATGTGGAGCTTGGTGAGGAGGGTGGTTGCAACAGCTCCCTCGACAACGGATGGAGCTCTAGCGAGTTTGAAAGCTATGATGAGGCCAGTGACGGGGAGGGTCGCCATGAGAACGGCCTGCCCCACGCCTTCATGAGAGGGAAGCCGCCCCAGAGGAAGACCCATGTGTGTAACGCTCCCATTTCTCTGACTGGATTACAGCCAAAAACCAGCTCCTGTGTCAATATACTGTACATCTGTGGGTGGGCGGATGACAGCAGTGGATAAAGCAGGGATTCATTTTATTTGTTACTGTGGAATTTAGTATAGGGGATTGTGTTTTCTCTTCTGTCCTCCACATATTCACTTTACTATCGGCTGTGATACTGGAGGTCATCTATTTGTTTATATGAAGTTATAGTTTAAATTTCTGAGTTAAACAAATCCTCTTATTGTGCTTGTTCTTAACTTGTAGATAAACTATTTATAGATGAAGTTGCCAATGATGTACAGTTCATTTCTCTGTTTGATGTGGAATCAACAGTCCATTTGCTTCTGCAGATCTGAGAGCGATCATTCTGGCTTATAGTCAGCTGGCTGCACTCTGTAATGTTTTGGCTTGTGGTTTTGAGAATTCAACTTCACTTTGTTTTTAGTACCACAGTCAGAAATTAATTGATTCCTTCAGGCAAGAAAAATCTTTTTAAATTTCATCAAATGCCAATTACCTTAAATATAAGGTGGAAACTGCCCCCGATAATTGGAAAGCTATTTTGTACATTTTATATTTTAAGTTGATACATATTTATTTACACATACACATTTACACTATTGTCCAATTTGAAAAAAATCAACAAAACAAAAACTACAGTAATAAAGCAAAACAGTCAGCATTGTGGCTGGAAGCAATGGTCAGAAATTAACTCTATTATAATATTATATTCCTCGGATTCAGTTATCAATGAATCACATTTTAATGATACAAATTAACTATTAATTTTCCAGTATGTTGTACAGGTGCATTTTGTCATATTTTAATGGGCTCCAAAAAAGAAAGAAGTGCACATGAACATGAGATCATAGGACGCCATTGCCCTCTGGAAAAGTTCATTCAAATAATTTCTAATGCGACAGGAGATTTTTGGAGGAGGATAGAGTCGGCAGTCTAGCAACAGAAATTTCAAAATTAAGGTTCTAGCTCATTCCAAAACCATAACCAGTAACGCTTGCTTTGCTTTTGTTTAGCTCTCTCAAGATCTGACTCGCTTGAAAGAACACTATGAGAAAAAGATGAAAGATCTAATGGCAAATACAGTGGGAACGGTAGAGCTGCAGCAGCTAAAACAGAAACACGAGCAGAAGGTAAACTACCTGAGGCTCACCTCACCTGCCTGTGCTAGGCAAAGTAGTCCCAACCCTCTACTCTCAGTCTAGCTAACAACTCTGGGTATCTGACGCTTAACACGGTACCTTTATACCGCTCTGATGTGAATGACATGTGGTGGTGGTACTGGTGATGGGTCTGCATACAATTCATTTGCCTCCCTGTCTGCTGCATTAATCTTTCTCGTTATTTGTTTATGCACTGGAGGTTGTAAAGCTTAGGATATATTCAGTAAACTGAGACACCAGCAATTGAGTTTTATTTTGAGCCATTAATTTAAGATGTTTCCAAAGTAGCTGAAAAACTATATAAATATTTGTGGCATTTACAATGTCTCTCATAATGTAAACCAGTCTTTATGTATTACTTTTAGCTGCTGTCCCAGTTACTGTCATTCTCTGATCAGCTCTGCTCTCCTGTATTACATGATCTGCCGTTCATCCTCATCCCTGCTCTAACACTGCCTCTTTCTTGCTTAGCTCAGTCCAGTAGCTTTTTAGCCATAGGTTTAGACAAAGTAAACTAAACTTTAGTAAACTAAACTTCCCCTTGGACTGACATTCCTGACTGTGAAATTACTTGGTGTTACTTTTGCAATATAGATAATGATGTATTTTGTCTCATTCAAGATGCAAAAGCTGGTGAAGGCAGCTAAGGAGGGGACCAAAGATGGGCTCGAGAAAACAAAAGCTGCAGTGAAAAAAGGACGCTCTTTCATCAAAACCAAGTCATTCTGTCAAGGTATATAATCGTAAAAAGACAGCTTGCCTTCATAAACAGCAATAAATGTGTAAATCCATTTTAACTATACACACCCTCCGTTAGCGCCTCTGTTTATGTTAAGTCAGTGTTATGGTATTTTACTGAAGGCTAATATGGTTTATTCAGGACAGCGTTTTTCTGTTCCTACAGCATGTTTGCTTAATTGCAGCCATTTTTACAGCGTTACTTGCTCTCTCTTAATCTTTTAGAGAGGAAGTCAGCCTGTTTTGAGGATGAGGAGTCTGAACTCTTCATTGAGGTGGACTGTTTCAATGTTGAGCCAGTGCTAAGTCCAGCCCCAGAGGGTCTTTCACAGCAACAGGTAACGAACATGCATTTGTTAATTTGTTGTTTAAGAAAACTGCGCCAAATGCCTGAAGACCACTGGTTTGTTATTTTTTCCTCTGCAGCTTGTGAGACGATGTATATTGGGATCCATATTGGAGAGTGAGAAGAATTATCTTGATGCACTGAAGAGGATACTAGAGGTATGGAAGTACAACTGCAGCGAATGCCAGATCCACTTTTAAGTGCTTGTTATTACAGTTCATTTTATCTGCTTTCTCAGCAATACGAGAAGCCCCTGTCCCAGATTGAGCCAAGGCTGCTGAGCGACAGGAAACTGAAGATGACTTTCTATCGTGTGCGTGAGATCCTGCAGTGCCACTTCCTGTTCCAGATTGCCCTGGCGAGCCGCGTGGCTGAGTGGGACAGCCTGGAGATGATTGGGGATGTCTTTGTGGCATCGGTAAGATGGGACTGTAATTTTAAAGCCTTTTTTACAAGAGCAGCACCATTATATTACAAATGAATAGTCTACATTAACTGTGGTACCCAGAGTTCCCTGAGTCCAGCTTGACATTTATGGCATTTATGATGATTTCATGCCGCACAGCCAGACTCCTCCCTGTCGGACCATCTTACTTCATGTCAAAGACACGTGCTCTCATGACACAGAGAGCTGCATTCTGTTCTCTCATAGCACTGTAGCACTGGCAAACATCTTTAAAACAAAAGACCTCATGTCCCACAGTCCCGCTCCTCACTTCACTTCCTTGTTTTTGTATGAAAATCGACCCCTGGCATGACAACAGAGGAGCAGTGAGACCCATATGAGACCGATTTGAAGTCTGTTCACTGCCCTCTTTCACCTCACAGTCCTCATCCCATCATAAAACAGCACTCACACACTTAGAGCTTATTTTTGGAATGGAATATTCCCAATGACTTGCATATATACAATAAAATACAATAATATGAAGATAAGGTAACATTTAAATTGTTTAATCAAGTTGTTTCTTCATTTACTGTATACTTTAATACATATTCGCCCTAGCAACCCAACTTTAAAAAAAATTAGAAAACATAAACAATTTACAAATGGACAAAAAAGAGTACTAAATTTAAATTGACAATCTCTGGGATTTCAGTCCTGGTTGATTGGGCGACACCTGTAGTTACTGATGGTAACAGCAAATGCGGTTTAATTCTACAGGCCACAGATATATATGGGACTTTTTCCATTATTCTGTGCGTGACTGTGATCTGATTTTATGCTCCACAAAATGAGTCTGCAAACAGCAGGGCACTGTTAAACAGGTTGCTCAAGCACGCTTCATGCTTAAGCATGAAGATAGGACGGCATTTTTAGACCTCCTGAGATGTTTTCTACATCTGGATGCTGAACGAAGAATCCCATCAAAAAAATCCAGAAAGAGCCATCTACTGCCAGTTCCCATGAAAAACATTCATTAACTGACAGTTCATTTATTTCATTTTTATTGAGCACCTTGCAAAACACAGTCACAAATTAAATTAAAACAATTACAACAAGTATCATCAGTTAAGAAAAAAACCATAGTATAAAAGTGATTTTTAAGAAGATATTTAAAAGAGGATACTGAGGTGACCTGTCTCAGATCCTCAGGCAGTTAGTTCCAGCTGAAGCTTTTGGATGTTTCACCTGCTGATACCACAATAAAGGGTGCTGCAGTGGTCCAGTCTGGAGGACATAAAAGGGATGACCTTTTCCATAAAGTTGTTAATTTGTTCAGTTATTCTACACTGCCACAAAACAAGAAGGAGCTATTTGCAAAAAATAGCAAATGAAAAAAGATCAAAGCGTTTCACTATAAATACAAAGATTGTGGAGGTTATATGAAGAATGATCAATGTTAATGATAAACATACAAGAGAGTTTTCTGATGTGTTGCCACTATCTGCAGGATGATATACGTCTGTCTGTCCCTTCCAAAACTGATCCTGCAAGTGGTTAGTGTATTTAAAATGTCTGTGTTTCTCAACAGTTCTCAAAGTCTATGGTGCTGGACGCCTACAGTGAGTATGTGAACAACTTCAGCAATGCAATGGCAGTGGTGAGGAAGACGTGCGCATCCAAACCTGGCTTCCTGGACTTCCTCAAGGTTTGACAGGAACGCACAAATGCAAAGTGTTATTGCTATTTGAGAAGTGTGTCAATTAATAATTTTCTTGCAAATGGATTGAATCTACTTTTTTTCTGGGAATAAACAAATATTTTTTCACAGTTCACATCTTTTATTCTTGTGCATTTCAGTAAAAAAAGGGCTTACAACTAATTGTTTTAACCATTCATTAAGTGAAATTCTTGCTGTTTAGCTGCCTGTTGACAGAAATGACAGCTAATCACATGAAATACATTACAAATATTTTAATAAATATTTATTACATTATTGTTATTATTGAATAATGTTACTCAGATCTACATACATTTAGAGAGTTGTTAAGTACAACTATGTACACCTCTGCCATCCTTCCTAGTCCTTCCCCTTTTAAAGGCTTTGACTGGTCCCTCACTGCACTGCAGTAACCCATCCTCTCATCTGCAGCATCGTCAAGAGAGCAGCACTGACAGGATGACTTTGTATGGCCTGATGATGAAACCTATCCAGAGGTTCCCACAGTTCATTCTGCTCCTTCAGGTATATTGACCTCTTATTTGAATCTCCTTCACAGTAACTGCAATATGCAGAAGACAGTGTGGTATCTGTATTCACCACCAGAGGGAGAGCTAACCACACACAGTCGATGCATTTTTGTTTTTCAAAATGCTTACCTCAAGGGTAGGCAAGAGAAATGCCCGAGGAGAAATGGTTTTTTCAGATCTCTTTTAATCCTGCTTTCATTTGCCCTGGCATATTAAGTATGCTCATGTCTATTGCGGAAAACCTCACACATAATATGGGACACTGGGATCTTTCTTTGGTGCTTTTTTTTTTTTAAGTATAAACATGTATAGCAGCAGTTGAGTGTCTACAAATACCAATCACAATAGCTTGTGTTCAATCTACAGTTATTCTGTTAATAAATAGGATGTGTGCTATATAGATATAGAAAATTGGAGAGAGCATGATTCCACCAAATGCCATTGGAGAGTTTTTCAGATGCAGGTTTTTTATCCCATTAATGACACAGTTAAAAAGCTCTGGTCCTCAGTGTGGACAATCAACTAACAACTGACTAATGTGTGACCTCTTATCAGGACATGCTGAAGAACACACCAGTGGGTCATGCAGACCGTCTGCCACTTCAGATGGCCTTGACTGAACTGGAAACATTGGCAGAGAAGCTCAATGAAAAGAAGAGGGAAGCTGACCAGCGCTGTGAGATCCGTCACATTGCAAAGGCCATGAATGAACGCTACCTCAACAAGGTCTGCCTGTTTCTCCTGTGTGCCCTGGCATACATGTTTGTAGTTTGAATTGTGTGAGACCATCATTGTTCTTGATACGTGTGGTTTTGCTTTTTTATTGTGTATTCTTTTTACATGCTGGTTAAGACTGTGGTTAGAGCTGATGATGTACTCATTGCTCACAGTCAGTGTGCAAGTTTTTGGCTGATGCTTGATTCTTTTAGCATATGCTGTCGCATTTCTCTCTGTCCCAGTGTGGGCGGCCATCAGGCACTTGAGCCTCACATATTCTACCAACTATTCTCCTGACTGAATACCATATTTTTAGCATATGGCTTAGCACAACATGTGCACACAACACCAGCTTTCCCCAAGGTATAATTATTTGTCTATCTGCAGCCACCCACTCTGGCATCGATGTAGAAACGTGTGTTTACAGGATACCTCACATGGGGCAGAGGAGTTTTGTTCCTCATGGCCTTTAATTGTTAGAGAGTCACTGTTGATAGCCATGGATTATATGCTGTTATCCAAAATGGGTGGATTCACAGTAGAGAGTGACAGGAAACATGGAGGATAGAAGACCAAGATGAAACAGACTGGATTTCTTTTTGAAATCCAGAGTTTAAAAAAAAAACACATGCGACAGTGTTTACTTTAAGATTTTATCTGAGGCTGTATAGGCTGAAGTGCTTCAGGGTTGTTTTTTTATGTAATGTGAAATGTGAGAGCTGTTGGTCTCTGAATGGACTACATTCCTTCTCTAAGCTTGGTATTGTTAGTGAGGTACATAAACAGAACTTTAATCAAAGGTCCACACTCCTACTTCACTTTGAAATAGTACCACTCTGAGTTGTCAACTCTATCCCTCAGCTTCTGAGCAACGGCAGCCGCTACCTGATTCGCTCAGACGACATGGTAGAGACAGTCTACAACGAGCGTGGTGAAATCATCAAAACCAAGGAGCGGCGTCTCTTCCTGCTCAATGATGTACTCATGTGTGCCACACCCAATATCCGGTAAGAGTGACCACAAACCAGACCTGTTCTTAATCTCTCCTCTAAATTACACCTTCTCCGGTCCTTGGGTGCAATATCCTATAATTTCTTAACCATTTTGCAATTTTAGAAACTAATTGCTGTATGTGTATTTTTGTTGCGGTCTTCATTGAATAGATCACTTTGTCTACTGTGGGGGATTATTTAATGCAACTGGGATTTCAGTAAAAATTGATCCCAAAGTGAACTAAGGTAGAGAAAGTTGGTAAGCTTTGTATGTAACTGGTGTCCTTGGGATGACTTTTGGCCACACTGAGTCTCTGGGTTTGGACCAATATGTACCCACTGTGGAAGTGATGGAGAGCCTTGTTCCCGAGCTTGTCAGCTTCAGTCCTGTAATTGTAAGATGCTGGTCCCCACTTACTGCCTCTAGGAGATGTGCACTGACTTGTACAAAAAGTTTGGTTTTCCAGATGAGTGACATTTATCTGCTCCTATCTTTCACACATGGCATCCATAGGCCTCCTCCACAGACACTTAACTGTTCTCTTTTCAGCATTTCTTGCACTCATATGCCTTCTCCTCACACAGTGCAGAGGATACATATATTCTCCACAAACAGGGTGTTGACACCATGATCCGGGGCCACTTTGTCACATAACCTTCATCTCTTTCTGCTCTGCCCAGATGTCAGGATGGCAGTGGGAGCGGGAGTGGAAATGCTCCACTGGACCAGAAGTTCCTTCTAAAGTGGAGCGTGCCTCTGAGCTTTGTGGAGGTGCTAGAGTTCGGATCAAGTGAGGACATGGCTGACAATAGCCGCTACCCAACACCCCATTCTGGGGAGAAGGTGGTCATCAACGCTAAGCCAAGTATGAACCACAGTTTTATACACCTATGTGTCTGTCTGTCTGTACCTGTTTCCCTCTCTGTGCTCTCAGGACAAAAGGTCTTGTAGGAAAGGTGACAGAGTTTAATTACCTGGGTTGATTAGAGAGTACCAAGTAGTTGAGGACTGATCCCTGCACAGGTCATGTGGATTTCAGACTCTGGGATAGGAGCCAATAACTGCGTGTGCTTGGTGTCCGGTTAATTACTTTCTAAGTGGTAACTAAAGGTAAATATCTCTGTCTACCTGATAACTGATTGAACGAATCAAGTTACAGACTTGTACCATTTTAATAAACTAATAGATCTTGTCTCCTACATAAATACATAGAATAAATACATAGTTGTTTCTTGCCAGACATTTTCAGACATTTCTAAAATGGTGTCAGTCCTCCAAAGACCTTCCAGCCACCGAGTGTGTATTTCTTTCCTTCTGCAATCCTCTGATCTGCTGGCTGCCGAGTCCAATGATTTCAGTCTTTCCACTGGGTTCTCCCCTGTCACAGACAGCTGCTCAGCCACTTTAAAAGGCCCAGATCAGACAAACAAGAGGCATAACGAGAGTGTATGATTTTGTGGTCACAGCACTGCAGTTTTTATTCTAGGACCTAGATTTTTCTGTGCATGTGTTTGTGCCGAGGTAATGGTAGTGCACATTTCTGGGCTTGTGAATGCTTTTATACTGTATTATCCCTGGTCTGTCAAAGGTTATGTGTATTCAAGCTGAGGTCAAAGGCACACTCTTTCAGTTGCCAATGGTAGTGGGCTGGAATTACTACCACTGAGCTCATCCACTCTCTCTCATGCTCTCTCTTACTCTCATTCTCCTTCTCCCTCAAATCTATCTGTAATTCAGTTACATAAGGCTCAGTCTTTTGCTGCTAAGTGTCACATTTATCTCATAATACATCCTGTGATGTTTTTGTATGGGTTTTATCATATAGTCCATGTCTGTGTCTGACTACCAAAAGATTACTGTTCAGTAATAGCCACGATATATTTCAGTCCATGTGCACAAGATATAGTAGAAACTGTAAATTGAATTAATAGGGACAATGCCCATGTTATTCTATTGGTCCCCCCTGCTGTGTGGAGTTATTATGTAGTCGACGGCATGTGAAATAGATGGTCCATATGGGCCCTTTTGCACATACACACACATACACCCTCCTGCCACCCAACCTCGTCCTCTACTGAAAATATCAGATGGTGAATTTTCACACTTTTCCCTTCTTCGACCGCCTTAAAATACTTTTCCTTTTTTATTTATCTGCTTATATCCCTTTCCCTTTACCTCCGCTGTAGCAACATTTGGTGCCTCTCTTTTGCACTAATCTCCTGTCAGGCCACCTGTCCTGCTCTGATATTTCACAGAGCTATATGGACAGCCCAGCCATTGCATGAGCGTATGTAACAGATGGCACAGACAGGCCTGTGTAACATCTGGTCGGGCTGTCAGGTTTTCCTAAGGCTGCAACTGACAGACAGGTTCACAGCCTCATCACAAAGCAATGTGATGATACAAGTGTATGCACTCTCCTGAAAGGCCCAAGGATGGCCATATGGGTCCCAGTGTATTGTTTTGCTCTTTTAAATACCAGTTAATTGAATTAGATGTTGCGGAAGTTGATTTTAAGATGATATGGATCGACCACAATGCTTCAAAAAGAGCTGTTTATTCCCTGGACAGAATTGAATGATTGTATTGGTTAACAATAACATACTGACCTTCACTCGGTTCCCTCCTCAGTTCTGTGTGTGTCTTTGGGAAAGTGTGTGTGTGTGTGTGTGTGTGTGTGTGTGTGTGTGTGTGTGTGTGTGTGTGTGTGTGTGTGCATACAAATGTGTGCATTGTCCAGGAACTTTTAATAAGTGGAAACTATTGTTTCTCATTCCCCCGTTCAGCCAAAAGCAGCTCGGTGACCAGCCTGCTAAAAGACATTGAAAAGACTCTATGCATGATGTCACCTTTCAGTACGTCTCTCAGCTCAGTTCATCTCCTCTCTATGCTGCATAGCCATCAGACCACCATGAATACTGGTCAGTTAAAGTTATGTTTCCCTCCTGCTATTACAGCCAGTATGTAATTTGTAGATATATTGTTTGTTTTTTGGAAGTGTGTAGTTGCTGGGATGACTGGCCTGCTTCTGAAGATGCTCCCAGGCTTGTTTTGTTAGAAAACTCTTGGCATTTGGCGCTCTAACAAAGAGCCATTCAGGAAGTTGGACCCCACTTAAAACGGGTTACACAGTGCCAGTCTAGTCTGTGGGAATGGTCAATCCAGTGATGGCACAATTCTGTTCTCTCTGGTGTCTTATTATTTGTACTATTAAATACAGATAATAAACATCAGGAGATGCTATTAAACTCTGGAACTGTTGATTTTATAATGGTGTTTCTGTTTTCTTTTAATGTGCATTTATACAAGGATGAAGAGGACATTCAGTGGAATAAAGAATTTAAATTCTTGTTTTATTTAAACATCAATCATGTACAGGGATATTGCAAAACATGTAGTTAAATTAATTAATTATTGGCAAAATTACATAATATTTAGTAGAGTCTTATTGTGTTGTGTGATACTGGCTGTAATGAAGTGTTGTTGCTGCATTTGCTCATAATATGACACACCAAGTGTATAGAGGGTTTATTCAGCATTCTGCTCTGACATGAACTCAACCCCCGTCGCCTCAGCCTTTGCTAAGATCGATGAGCCATGAAAATGGCATGTGACTCCTTTAGACAAGGAAATTTGTGAGATGAACAGAAACATGCTAACAAAAGTGCATAACACATTCCAACGATTAATTTCTCATTTGATCTTATTAACGATTTAAGTAAATATACATAACCTATAGATGTTTTGTAGGGTGGCTATGAATTGATCTGGTGACATGAATGAAATGAAGAAGGAGGTCATTGACCATGGAAACATCAGTAAAACCCAAATCCATGCACACCACAGTGGGCCTGCTGTGTAGTGCGTGTGCTTTGGTTTGAAGGGGTGCTCACGCATGTTTGAGGAGAGCAAAGAATTTCTCAGTCTGTAAGCAGCCTCTTGTGTACAGACTCACAGGGAGACGTCTTAAGAGTCATTTTCTTGGAGGCCACCTACAAATGTGTTACTGGGGTAAAGTTTCCCCTGAATGCCCAGTCAGCGAGACCTTCAGGAGAGTACTGGACTGGGTTGCCATGGCATTGGAGCACCAGATAGACATAGGGACTATTGTAGAAGAAGACGAGGAGGAGGAGAAGGAAGGAAAGTAGAAGGGCAGAAGCAAACAGAGCTGAAGGTGCCAGAGACTCTAATGCAGTTTAACTCTTTGTCCCCAGATAAACACTCTCAATAGAAATTAATATAGAAAAGAGCATACACACACTCAAATATTTGCAGTTTGGTTTTAATTTGAAAGAGTCCTGAACTTGTTAATTGAGTCTTGTGATCAAATGACCGCAATAATTTGTCAGTTGGCAGTTTTGGCTAGCTGACAGGCGTCCCCCCTATGCTCTTTGTGTGCTTTTCCTCATGATTACCGCCATGACTTAGTGTGTGTGTGTGTGTATGAGAGAGAGAGACTCTTGGCCTGTCAGACCTTCGATGAGCTCTGTGTCCTGTGCAGTAGTCCTTTGTGTACACACAAAGCAAGCCGTTGTTTCCTTTCGATACAGGACAAAACTGTGACCGCTCAAGGTCACTGAACTGTTCATATAGCACAGTGATCGTTTAATATTTTGAGCACAGGGGCAGTAGTGAAGAGGTAAATACCTACCTGCAAACCTGTTGCAGCATACATGCAGTAGGTACGCAAGTGAAGAACAGACAGGATGATATGCAAAAACAAACACATTATTGGGTGTGTGGCCTCTGAAAGCTAAACATTAGATAATAATGTTGTTGTTGTGGACAAGTGAGCACACTGGTGTGAATCACTGCCAAGTTTGCAGAGCTGTCAGCGCTCCTGTGGGAAACTGAATGATTGCCCCTTATTGATCTTTGTCTTCATTAGTCCATTTTTAACTGCTTCTGTCATCAGACTGGCCTCACTCAATACTGCCTGTGTTTCCAACATTTTGTAAGCGGACTGTTGGAAACATCAGCTTTTTAGGTCTTGGCTCAATTTCCTTGCTATCTGTCAGTCTTGTGTACTTTTATTCTTTGCAGCTCACATGAGGACACTGCTTTTTGTATGGGATTGTAGTCACTGATTTATGAGCTGAAAAGGTGGCTATAACTCACCACTTTAATACGAGTCTATGAAAGCCTTGTAACATTAAACGCTGTAACATTAAATGTGAGTTAGTTTTTGGACAGCTGGCTTAGCTTCACATTTTTGAAAGAGAGAGTAAGAACAAAGAATTGTGTTGTCCTAATATTTTGCCCTTGTGTGTTTCTGTGTAGACAAGCTGTACATGGGCCCGGGTCAGCTGTACCAAGATCTGCAGAACCTGATTCATGACCTCAGCCTGGTCAACCAGATCTCCAGCATGATCGGCAGCCTCAAAGGAAACTACCAGGTACCGTACAACCACACTAAACACAAGCACTGCCAGTCTGAAAGAGAATCAGTATTTTTTTCTAAAAACAGGTTAAAAAATCAGAAAGGCAAAGAATTAATTCATAAGTCATAAGTCTGATTTATTATGAATAATCGAGTACTTGTCTTTTATGTTATTTTGACTAAGTAGGAGGTCTTTTGGAAAAGTTGTAGTGTCTATTAATATTCTTGGAAGCTTGACAAAAATTGACACAGACAAATGTTTCTCAAATGTACCTCAGGACTTTAAAAATCACATTCTCTGTGTTTCCCCTCAGATGGGGCTGGGCTGTTATGTAGGCGTATAATGTTTAAGCTATGGAACGTGCAAGCATGGACGATTTGTCTTGTGGAGATCTGGAGTCTCTTAGGTCTTGATTTGCACCATTCAAGTCTGTCATATCATCACACACACACACACACACACACACACACACACACACACACACACACACTAACATACACCTGCCTGTGCTGCTGGGTTGGAAGTTTAGTTTGCAGAGCACAGCATGTGTGTGAGGCTGTGTTTGTGCTGTGCTGGTAGATCTGTCAAAAGCAGAGTGGGAGGCAGAGTATCAGAGAAGCTCTCAGAGAGACATGTGTCCCAGAGATGGAGGGAGGGAGAGACTGAAGGGGGGGCAGGATTGAGATATGTGAGCTGTACACTGCCAAGCATTTTCTCAGAACTAAATTTCATTTAGTTTTTATTCGTCTTCTTCTTCGTCTTCTTATTATACATGTATACTCAAAGGTTCTTCATACAGTTTGTCTAATTAGTACTGACATTTTAAGACCAGATTTCCTATTGCTTCTTCCTGCAGAGAGAATCTTGGTACTTGCACTTGAACTAGAGTATGTAAGCCAGTCTTCAACTGTGCCAGTCAAACAAATGAACATCTGCAGTTGTGGTTGTTTGTGTATTGAATCAACTGCATGGTATTTTTTGCAGTTGTGTGTGTTGATAAGGGAGAACACTGAAATGAGTGTGTAATAACGTTTCCACCTCATTTATAGGTACGCAGGAGTAAAGATACTAGAAACCACAAAAGCTCCCACAAAACTGAAATTATACATTTCTCAAAGGTAGTGTTTGAAACAGGACTGTTGTATTGGATTGCATTACAGTGACAGGTCTTTCTATTTTGTGGAACTTAATGTAGATGAGAGTAGATCCACTTAAATTTGAATCTGAGAAGACATATAGTTATACCTAATTATACCGTATCTAAATAAATGTGGTTAGGATTTATTGATGTTGAAATGCTCTGAAGTACAATTTATGCCTCTCTTACTTTTTTCTTTCTTCTTTCACCTACTTCTTTGTCTCTGTTTTTTCTTTCTATCCCTCCATGTTCTTGTGGACAGAATGTAAACCCCACAGTGGCCCAGGACTGGGTATCAGGTCTCCAGAGGCTGATACTAAAGAAGGAGGAGGAGATCAGGGCAGCTGACCGGTGTAGGATCCAACTCCAGCTGCCTGGCAAACAAGACAAGTCTGTTTTTTTTCCACATACATAAAAAACCTATTTAGCTTTAATTGCTATTTCATATGTACAACAATGTAACAGTCTCCAGTCTCAGTCCTTGCCCTCCTCCCTCGCCCTGATTATCCTAGGTTTGTCTTTATCCCCTTTTACCCTGCTTCCTTCTTCCACCTATCGCTTTAGCAGAGAGTATTAGAGCACATTTGGATATTTGGACAAACAAGTTTCCTCACCAGCTGTAATCTGAGGCATGAATCTCAGGGGAGGAAATGTGCATCAGTGTTTGCAACCAAAGTCTGCCCAGTGCTGCAGCTGTTGCTGAACACAAACGCTCATGTCACACATTTACACACACTATTATGGTCCGCACGTGGTCCCCCAAGGGTGAACCTTGTTTTGGTTTTGTCATATTCTCTCTCTCTCTTTCACTTCCTCACTCCATCCCTCATCCCTGCTCCATTTAGCTGGTGAGATTATCCACGGGTATGTTTGGAAACACAGCTGTGCCTCCCTCATTCCTCCGCTGATCCCTCAATCGCAAACAAACACACAAAACACTCGCCATCAGCTAGTGGCAGGAGGGACGCATTTCAAACAGGGCCCCACTATACACACACACACACACACAACAAAAACACACACATGAAGTGTACTGTATGTGAGCTGCTGATAGAAGTGATAATTGAAATTGACTTCAATCGCATTTCTGTCATAGTCAGTCTGGTCAGTCAGCATTGAAAACCCAGACTCATTTGCTCCCTCAGTTGGAATTCAGCCCAACAACTTTATTTTTTTGATCACTGATTAGGTATTTTACTGTAAAAGATACTAATCATCAGACTTGTGTGTCTGCAAGAATATTCAAACATTAACATTAACTGCTTAGAGAAATGTACATGCTAATTCGGCCCTCTGGTTGCCAAAGTGTTGACACATCTCGCAGGACATTAATCATTCATTACAATCTTGTTAAAGCATCTCTGATGTTTGGCTCACAAAAACTTTCAACGATGTCAAGTTCATTAACTCACTCTTTAATGTGAGGCTTTTTTTTCTTAAAGCTCTGTGTCCTGGCGTTTACGTTGTGATTTAACTTTCAACTTTTCTTAATTTCAAACTGCCTAATCTAACGTGATCTCCTTAAGACAGTTCATGTTTTCTGTCATAAATTAGAGCCTCATGCAGCAAGTGATTTTTGTTTTCTTTTGTATATCATGAAATATAAAATAATGTTACTATTTTGCGTTTCTTGATCCATCATAATCTACAAGCACCAGGCAGTACACAAAAGTTTGTAGTCTTACGTCAACAAAAGTGAAGTTGTGAATTCTTATTATTCTCATTATCACATAGAGCTTGAAAATAATCTAAAAGATGTTAAGTAAATTTGAGAGAATGTTTAGTGAAAGTAGAAGCACTGCTCTTTTATTTTTATCATCATTTGTGTTTTTGTTTTGTCCTCTCTATTGGCAGGTCGGGTAAACCCACTTACTTCAGTGCAGTGTTCAATACTCTCAGCCCAGCCATCAAACAGTCATGGATCAGTAACTTGCAGATGGCTAAACTGGCTCTAGGTAGTGTACACTGATCTTACACTTTCACTTTCTCGGTTTCCATTTTGATTGTGTGCATGCATTTATATAGTATATTCAGTCATTTTCCTATGATTAAACAAATTACTACTATCAAACATTACTGGCCAGTAGTTGTTGGGTTAACTAGATATTATGACTGATCTAATGAGAGAATGAAAGCTGTTTAAAGTTAATTATAAATAAGATGATAATTTTAGTTTTACAATCACGTCACGTCTGGATTCTTTCCCTCTCCAAACACAAATCACGTGTCATTTAAAAACTTACTGCATGCTGTTCATTACTGAATCAATAAAGCATTTGTGTGTGTGTGTGTTTTACATCAGAGGAGGACAACCTGCAGGGCTGGTTCTTTACAGAGGATGATGCAAATCAGATCAAAAAGCAGAAACATCCTCTCTTGCTTCGACAAATGCCTGTGGTCATGTCAAAACTACAGGAGTTCAAGGTGAGAACAACTGAATGTCCAAATTTTAGTCTCTGTGCATTTGACTATGTTTCAAAAGTGCCACACCTATCCCTCTATATCACACTGGACTTACTATAGTATTATGTCTATCAGCATTGACTGAACTGTGCGAAAATCAATTATTAGAGATTTCATTTGTGTGGCCGGTTAGCTCAGTTGGTTAGAGCGTGGTGCTAATAACGCCAAGGTCGCGGGTTCGATCCCCGTACGGGCCATAGTCTTTTAATGAGAGTGACACCTAGCCAGTTCAGGTCATATGATGTAAGTAAATTGTTGCTGATGTCAAACGGTGCAGAAATCCTCAAGACATCCCTTCTCCACTGTTAAATGTAGTTATAAGACTATGTTAGCAACAGGTCCTGACTGAGTGATCATACTTCCACCATTGTTCTGCAAAATGCTACATGACAGAGTTGGAGATTTGCCATTGGCTGTTGTTTTTTTTTTTAAATAAATTGGTGCAGAGAGGCAAAGCAGCCGTCTTTCACCTAGATAGCTGGATAGATAGATACATAGAGATAAAAAAAAAAGCACAGTAAATGCCATAATAAAAATAAAATGAAATTGCTCAATATACATAATAGAACATTAACCCAACGAATAACAAAATGAAAATAGAATGAAATAGCACAACATACAGTACGTAGTTAAACAATAAATAGAACAACTATGTCTTCAATTTCACACATTGACCATATGCGGCCCAGCCATACAGTAGGTTTTGACCTTGTCTTGTTTTATTGATTATGTTGGGTTTTGCCTTGTGTCCGTTGATCTTAAATCAACTGTCTGATTGTCCACATGCCTGTGTGTATGTGCCTCACTGTATGTTGCACACTGTTAAATGACTACCAGCACTCACTGACAGCGTGAGACAAAAAATAGCTCCAGACATCCTATATGTGGCCGGTTAGCTCAGTTGGTTAGAGCGTGGTGCTAATAACGCCAAGGTCGCGGGTTCGATCCCCGTACGGGCCATTGGTTTTAAATAGACAATACTCATGTGACCACTTTCACTTAGGTTCTTATACTAATTCACTGTTAAGTGGCACATTTCAAATGAGATGGTATTGATTGATTCTCTGCTGATGTAATATCCCCCACTTGTTTAGGGGAAAGTCTTTCTCCACTATCAAACAAGAAATCCAATTAGAAAACACAATGCAAAAAAACAATCAATTAAATGCTTTCTGATGTTTCTGTGTACAGAGATGTTTAGTTGTTTATTTTGACTCAGAACCACAACATGATACTGATTTGTGTGAAGGAGTTTGATAACAACATGTAAACGCGTAATCGGGATTGATTGACCATTTGGGACAATGTGGGCCAGTTAGCTCAGTAGGTTAGAGCGTGGTGCTAATAATGCCAAAAGGTCAAGCATTCGACCCCCGTATGATTTTGAGATCATAAGCTTCTATTAGATCCCACTAAGTAGCAGTCAGTAGGTCTGAGTAAAGAAGTCATGTATTTGAGCCATTTTGCCGCACATGTTACAGTAATGTCATGTGCGCTTTATCTGCCGGACCATTTGTCTACCTTGAAATCTCAAGTAGAACAATGAGTGGCGTCAAAAAGCACAGTGCCAGGTCAGCTCATTTAGGCTGGTTACTTCAATATGGCTGGACCTCATGGAGACTAACTGGACTGGACACCAGTAACATCTTTTTCTATTTATTCTGTGAATTACTATACGGTGACTTGACTATTTCTTTTATCACCCTCTCTTGTTTCCTCCTCTTATGTGGCAGGTGGAGTGTGCTGTTCATAACCCAGAGCCCCACATCAACACAGAGAGCACAGCAGACACTCCCATCGTGGGCCATGGATGTGTCTGGGTGAGACAATTTTTTCCTTCATCCCTTGGAAGAGAAGCACCGTGTTAGCTCACATTTAAACAACTGCACAAAAAAAGACCTTATTCCAATTTTATGATGGCTGCCTACAATAATGTGTGCCTTTTCCATTCAGACCGTGAAACTAAATTTGTAGTTCTGTAGGAACTCATTAATGGGCATCAGCTTTGACGTCTGAGTTTTGTCAAGTGTGTTGGGTGTCTGCTTATTTTCAACAGCTAACACTATTTAAGTTTAAACACTTTTCTATCAATAAGCCCCGCTCTTAGTTTTGGCAGGGGGCTGTTTTTCCCTATAATGCCTCAGCTGAGCAGATGGTAACATTTTTCTGTTTATTTATTAAAATATCTAATGTCCCCTAGAGAAAGACAATATGGGTATGAAAGTTATTGCTTCGGTATTTTAAGTTTTTCTCAAAACAAACAATGACAGTCATAACCATGGTAATCACTGCTAATGCTTTGTTTTGTCCAATAGGGAAAACCTTGGATCTGTTAATGATATAAACATCTCTTTAGCTGGTTATTTTCATGGTGAAGTCATATATTAAATATTGCTGAAAGATGTTAAACTCAAAGAGGAGATTTTTAAATTGTTTAATGTAAGTTGTTTTTAACATGACTGAATGTCTCAGGAGTTAAATTATTTTGTTTTTAAATTGGCCTATCCTGATTTTGTTTTGATGTGCACTTTCTAATGTAATTAAACTCTGCTCTGTGGAGGAACTTTTGTGTTTTCTCGTGAATTATATTGAGAGTACTTCAGCTGTATTTGCTTAGTATTGTTTGCTTTCTTTTCACACACACTCAGCTTTCCGGACTGGTTATATCATGGAAAGAAATTGCACAGTATCAATGGTTTAAATCATTCCCAAAATAGTAAGATTTTCTTTATTTTTGTCCAGGTTGCAAGTTGCACTAATCAGATGGGCCAGATAGCCATTGTGGCCATGCAGAATTCCAGCCCTAAGGTGACTGAGTGTTTCAATGTGGAATCCCGTATCCTCTGCATGGCGTATGTCCCAGCTGAGCAACCCCAGGAAAATGGCGAGAAGGTTCCCGAAAACAACCACGTCCCCCCAGCAAAGGCCAGTGATACTCCCAGTGTCTGCCTGGGCATGGAGGAGGGCAGGTACAGACAGTTACACACAGTGCACTCACAAACGTGTCTGCAGTATCCATACACATTTTTGCTAGACACATTGTGCTTTACCACATAATATAATAAGTTACCTTTTAATAAGAGACACCATTTTTAAACATGCACAGTTTAAAGACTAAGAGTCAACATTTTGTCAGTGTTTGAGGATCAAAGAGCAAGGGTGTCTTTCTAGACTTCTCATTTGGCTCCAAAGTTTATCAGTAGTAGTATCAGTAGTAGTGGCCAACTGCACTAAATCAAAGGGCCATAATGCAATGCTGCATTTAATAGTATCAATGCTGTGTCCATCTGTATGTGCTGCATGCACCAAGTCAGTGTATTCTGTTACTAAAAAGTCTTGTAATCATAGGAAGTCTTTGAATGAACTCAAAATAGGAAAAGGAAATTCATTCCTCTGGTGAGAAGACATCATATGTTTCACTTGTTTCAGCAACAAAATAGGTTTAATTAAGTTTAACATCATGTTCGTCAAGTGTCAAATGCTGCATGCTATTAAGACAACACTGTAAAATGTCTCACAAACACCAAAGTAATCACTGAAGTCAATAATTTAGAACTAATTTTATCTCCTGCCCTGTTCAGCATCATTGTGTATAAGAGCAGCCAACGAACCAAGAAAGTCCGTCTGCAGCATTTCTTCACACCAGACAAGTCCACTGTCACCAGCCTGGTCTATAAGAAGCACTGTCTGTACGCCGGCCTGGTCAGTGGCTCTGTGGCCATCTACTCCAGATCACAAGGTGTGTGTGTGTGTGTGTGTGTGTGTGTGAGAGAGGAGGGGGTGGACTTGTGAATGTGTTTATCTCTTCTGTTATAGTCTCAGAATTCTGCCGTTTGTTGATTCTCTTAAATAGCTATAATTTGGGCAATTACGGGGTTAAATCACAGTTATCGTGCAAAACAGAAAAGCATTCATTGAGTTAATTAGATTTTTTTTGAGAGTGTAGGCTGACATTGTTGACTTGTTTAGTCTGCACTAGCCCTGAATTTTGTAACTTTAACCATAATGGGCCATGCACATGAATAAGAGTGTTGTGGCTGCCTTAATGACTTTGTTTTTGGATTTATCAACTTTTGACACACTTCTGCTGACATTACTTTACCATAAGTAACACATCTGGTGCCTTTTTCCAACGATAGGCAGAAAATGGAATGTCTTAAAATGCTGAAGAGATTGTTGCTGAATTGACACAGCTAAACATTTTGCAACACTGAATGAAAAAGGTTATTCTAGGTAGAGCATACGCAGAGATGTTGTTGTTTTGTGGTCCATTGCTTCAACTGCCTTTTTTTTTTTTGTTTATCTCTGAGTCACAGTGTTGCCGTTGGTGTGTAACTCAGAGGTTCATTGTGAAACTCAAGGTCAGGGGTCTCCTCTGCTCTGTGTTGAGGTTCTGTTTCCATTTGCTTCGTTGTCTGGGAGAAGCCAATCTGTTAGTGGTGACCTATTTACTGTCTTCCCTCCCAGACGAGCACAAACGCAGCACAGAGGAAAGGATCTGGGCTGCTCTCTTCCCACAGCCTCTCTTATTAGCTTTCATAGCGTTGCAAACAGAGGGTCTCCGAGCCTCTTCCTCAGTCTGTTTCTCTCTGTCTTTGTCTGATTTTTCTCTGTCACATTATATGGGTAAAAATAATTTCATATTTTTGAACATGAGGAAACAGAATCCCTGTAATTCTTGGCTGTCAAATATAAGTATTGGTGTCACTATCATGTGATGCCGCCATTGCTAGAGGCATGTTTTATTAACCTTAGTCACACATATTCATTCCTCTCCATGCCCTCATATGACTCAAATTAGATTTCCAACCTCTCTGAGAAAGAACTTTAATATTTCCTTGATCAGTTTCTAGCTTTGTTGTTTTTCCTATGTTGGTCTGTAAGGCTTGTGTGTGCAAGCGCGAGAGACCGAAACGGAGACAGAAAGAATATGGGTGATGGCCTGAGGACAGAAAAACAGGAGAAAACTGTTCTCGCTCCTCCCTCAGTCAAGCTACAGTTTGTCTGGAAGAAACATGCAGTATATATGCGCTTTTCTCCACACACCAGTAATGAGACAGGGGCACATTCTTTGTGAGTGCTGGTCTTTGGTGTAACTGAATGTTCCAGCAGTAGGTACTTTTCACCATTCATCACCACTAGTGTGTCAAACTAATTCTCAGTAGGAAATCCTGGCCATAAAGTCTGATTTGTATGATTTCCACCCTTCAACAGCTCTGTCACTGGGACATGATGCTTGATGCTAAAATGATGACTCATCCTGCACAGTTTGGTAGGGAAGCTCTACCCTGCATGCCTGTTGTAATGCTGCTCAAGTACTTTGTCACAGTGACTGACTCTGCCTGTACTCCATTTGCATTTAAAGCGGACCGGCGGTTTACATAGCAGAGAAGAAAGCCAGCAGAACTAGGGGGAATGATCAGCTTATATCATTTGACGCTACACTGTCATCTGATCAAAGTGGACCCTAACAGCAAGCAGTGAGGAGACATCAAAAACACTCTGAACAGACCACAATGTGGCTCTGTCTTTAAAGCCTTGAGTGCTGAGTAATCCTGCATAGAAATGTTACTCCGTTGTTGATGCAGTGTGTCTGAAGCTGGACAGTCAGCCTCATTCTGCCATGCTTGCTATTTCCTCCGTGACTGACTGTGTGGGAGATGAAGAAAGAAGGAGGCAATGATTCGGCAAAGGTCACACGTCATAGATAGGCAGTCAGACCATAAACTCTATTCTGCCATTCTGCATCATGCCTCCACTTTTTCCTGTTTTTGTTTGTTGCAGTGTCGTCAAAATAAGAAAATTAATGGGCTTGTTTAATGGGCTTTTACTGCCTGGTTCATGTGCTACTGTTTATGCACATACAGACACACACTGGGATGAGAGGTCTGTTGCTGCTGACACTGACATGAAGGAATGCTACAGTTTGAGAAGTGAGAGATGTGGGCAGACTCACTACAGTAGAGACCACTTACATAAGACTCCAAGTTGGCACTCCTGTTATTTTTTTCCCTTTCCTTCCCTTTTTTATTTTCTCTTTTTTTTTTCCTCATGTGCATTCACCTACACAGTATGATTATTACAATAATATACACAGAGGATTGCTGGAATGCTAATCCCACCTAGCTCCTTTATTGGGAGATTACCTCTACTTCCCCAGTCATTACTGTACCTCTGAAAGAACATCTCTCCCTGCGTGGCACCTCTCCCTTCAATAGCCGCCTTTGTGCCTTCTCTTAAACAAACACTATTGGTGAGGCCTCATTCACTTCCTGGCCTAGATTAGCTAAGGGAATGTGGTATCTGCAGGAAATGAACTTCGTATTCCACACAGGGCCCTTCTAGCTCAAAGTAAGTATCAGGAACATGCATCAGTAAAAGTGTCGTTTTTTTTTTTTGTTTTTTTTTACTGTTTTTCAAATATAGCACTTTTTTCTGTCGAACAAACTTACATATCCTCTCCTTTTATGACAATATTGATTGAAATCTAAATCGGCGGATATAATGGTTGCAGAAATGTAATGTGTTGATATTTATAAAGACACTGCATGTGGTGTTTCATTTCAGCAGAGCTGGCACAGTAGGTGCCCAGGCACATGTATAACAGAGTGTGTAGGAGGTGCGTGTGGGATCGAGCTCAGCTCTGACTAAAGCCTCGCAGCCCATCTATATTCATAGTGAAGGCTGTGGAAACCATCAATGGCCACTCCACCAGCATTAGCAGAGTTATAAATGCAGATGATCTTTACAGATGGCATTTATAAAGACCAAGTGACTGTTAGAGTGACTTCAATGAACCAACCAACTATTACATGAAAAAATTGCTAGGGGTTCACACTGCAACAGAGAATGCAATAATACTAACAGAAGAGATGTTCTGTACTGTTTGGTTCGTTGTCACTTATGTTTCGTCATATGTATTTTTACTGCAACTTATTCCAGATCATTACTGAATATATATTTACTCTGTGTTTGCATACAAAGTGCATTTTTTCAGAGGGTATTTTATCATTGTTTTATTTGAGTACTGAGCTGCCAACATTGTATTTGTTCTGACAGATGGTTTGTGGAACTGTGACAAGCCCAAGGTGCTGAAACTGGGAGTCCTCCCAGTCAAGGCCATGCTGGCAGTGGAGGAACACCTGTGGGCTTCATCAGGTGGACAGGTCTTCATCATCAGCACCCACACACATTCTGTGGAGGTATAGAACCTAGCTCTGATACTGTTATTACTGTTATTACATACCATGTCTACATCATACACAGAGCTGTGTGTGTGCGTGTGTGTGTGTGTGTGTGTGCGCGCGTGCGTGTGTGTGCGTGTGCATGCATGTTCTGTAAATAACCCTTGCTACATGTCTTTTTATCTGTGTATCTGTCCCAGTCTGCCTGTGTAAATCCTGCAGGAAACAAGCTCTAGTGAAAAAGATGATTAGCATGTTAATCATCGTCCTATCTGTTCAAGTCTGTGGGAACATCTGTGTCTCTTTAGAGAATGGAGGAGAAGAAAAAGCACAAACATAGTTTGGAAAAGCTGTTTTGTTTACTTGAAGGTATGAGTATTGGAGGACTGCATCTAGAGTATATGCAATTCAGTAAAGAGAGGGAGATGTGAGAAATGAAACATCACAAGGAAAGTGAGGGGAAACAGTCAAGGCTTCTGTGAAAAGTATCTTGAGTGTGGATACGCATGTTTATTTGAATATTTTGCTAGAAGGTGCACATGTGAAATATGGTCACTAAAGGTATGAAGGATATCTAGTAGATGAGGGTGGCTCATTTCTCTTCCCAGTGTTCCTTTTTCCATATCCTGGAATATGGATGGTATTCCCTGTGTGTGTGTCTGACCTGGTTTAAGGAATGGAAGCACCTGCCATGGCTCTAGGAATAGTAACGTTCCTCTAACATGCACTCACTCATAATCTGTTTAGCCTCATTAAGCTCATTATGTCGGACCACCTGCCTGTCTCGCTCTCTTTTCCTCACTGAAGACTTACAGTTAGTCCTCAGTGTTGACTGAAAGTCAGGCGGATGAGACAGACTGAGCCAGAGAGGAAAGCATGGTGAAACGGGTACAAAGAAACTGGATACTTCGATAAGAACTTAATCATTTTAATCAAAGGTAGATCAAATATAAATTACAAGGTTTACACTTATCAAAAAGAAAAGACATTACCTTTATTTTTCTTGCTTCTTCATTGCCACATTTTATCAGCACACTGTACTGCGACACTTGTGAATGAACTCTCCTTAGCCAAATATAACTCCACCTACACGTCAAGCAATGTGTGGTGAGATTATGTAACTCGTGGAGATGGAAAAAGCCTAGTTCATTGGTTTCCCATGCACAGAATGCAAACTTGCACTCTGCACATATTTGAAACTATTCTAATTTAAACTACTGGATGAAGGGAAAACCTAGAGTTAAGAAAAAGTTTATGAAATTGATTTAATTTTAGGTTTATTAAATACTAGTACTACCCTCCTTGTGCTTCTTGTTTTGACTACACCTGACAGTATTATTATCTTCAGAAATATTGACATCACCTCTGAACAAACATCTTTGGTGCAAGTTGGCCGAAAAAAACCTCATTGTATCATATTCTATGTTGCCCGTTGTGGAAATGTGATTCTTCATTTCGATTGTAAAGCATAATCACAGGGTCCTAGACATAACAGCCACTAACAATGCGTGAGCTGCTGCAGTCTAAACAGACTGAGACAGATTTTCTGTGGGTTGATTGGTCTCTTAGGTTTTTCAAATAATATTTCTCTAGTTTGTAGTCACACACAGCCAACATGAGACAGCCAAACATTCTCCCTGTAGTCTCTGGAACATTTAGCCTGAGCTTAAAACGTTACTAATATAATAGTATTGTGTGCTGTTGGTGCAAAAACTCATTGTATTCTCTTGCAAAGGGACATTTTCTGTCAGATTTTTCACATTCTTGCGCCAAACTGATTTGAAAATGTGTTTAAGCTAATGTAAATGCTAATGAGAATGACATAGCTTATAACAGAGATCCTGTAGGTTCTACATACTGTTCTATGCACCAGTAGGCATTAAAAATATTCTGATGTCTTCAGTCATAAAAATCTGAAATGAAATTCTGTATTGTGAATGTGCAGTATGTGATACTTAAGTCCTCTCACCCTGCCCTGTCTTCCCCTTGCAGAGGCAGCTGGAGGCCCACCAGGAAGAGGGCATGGTGGTGTCACACATGGTGGTGGCCGGTGTCGGAATCTGGATTGCCTTCAGCTCTGGTTCCACACTCCGCCTTTTCCACACAGAGACCCTGGAGCACCTGCAGGACATTAACATTGCTACACCTGTCCACAATACACTGCCTGGTAAGCATCATTTTCATCTTGAGACAGACAAATTACCAGTCCGATTTGATATCTGATTTAAATGCGCAAATAAAAGAATTGTAAGTGAATATTATGTAAAATTATTTAATTTACATTTCTTTCATGGTTAGAAATATTCACCACCAAAGACAGACTACAGTTAACCTACATCCCTTTTCTTTTTTTTACTGTTCTTATTTTGGCCTCTGCAACCGATCCCCAACATTTTATTTTCACATTTTCAACAAATAAAATCTGGTTAGGATTCCATCATTCCATCTCAAAAGTCACCAAAACGACAGGTTTAAAATGTTAAATAACAAAACACATGCACAGTAGGTATCAAAGAAAGAAAATATAGGTATAACACCCATTGCCTGCAGGTGGTGCTAATGTAAAAATTCCAGTAGCTGTTAATTTTTTGCCTGTAGGAGGCAGCATTGGCATGGCAACATCTGCCTGTTTAAACTGCTGATGCTATTACTTTGATTGTCTGTTATGATTCATTCCACACAGTGACTTATTTGAAAACAGAGATTTTCTCACCTTGTAGAAGTCCTTGGTCTGCATACAACCTTGTGGTTTAAGATTCACTAATATTGATTCTGTGGTCTTAACCACCTTCATCAATTCACCCACCGCCATCACTCTCAATTCTCTTTGCCTTCCGTTGAGTGTCTGTCAGTAATGTGATCTGTATGCCTCATGGAGACTTAAACCTTTTTGTGAGTTTCAAACTATCTGACAAAGAACAGCAAAGCATGGTCGTTCTCTCTTTTGATATCCGATCTTGTGATCATCTAGTCAACTATACTTATTCAAATACAACCCTATTTGCGTGGTTGGTGTTGCAGGTCCCATGACTTCATGTTTTCAAAGTGCTGTCTTACTTGGTGCCTGTCAGTAATTAGCTGACATCAGTGTAGGTGCTCATCCAGGCAGCTCTTGTTATGGCAGGTCTGTCACGCTCTCGTCCTCTTTCAAAGGCTCCCTTATTCTAAACACTTGATCTGGACCCTCTCATTTTGCCTCTATTCATAGTGTTGAAAAAAAAACCTCCTCAAGTAATTTTAACTCTTTCTAAAGAGCACTTTCTAAAGGGAAAATCCAGCCCGAAGTTGAACATAAATAAATAACGGTACATCTGTTTTAATAACTGACAAAACATAGACAGAATTATGACATCACATTGATATATTATATATATATAGACTTATTCGCAGCTGAGCTATTAGTGGAGTTCAGCATAAAATAACATTCCTCAGCCACATGAAACATCAGAGACCAAGAGTTTGTTTTGAGTACATACTGTAACTACACAAAGAAATTAATCACTTCAGAAGTATAAATAAACACCTTTTCCACTAACGAGTAACCTCAATTGATCAAAATGTAGTGATGGCAAGCTTTTTTTTGAATGTAATTTGGGTTAACTTAAATATCTCTAGGTGTAGGAGTTCCTTAGGGTTGTTTTTCCCTTCTGCAGATCTAGTGTAGCATTACCAGTGAGTGCAGTAATGCTGCTTTTAAAGGCACTTTACTTACTTCATCCCACCATAGTGGCTCACCCTTGATCCCTGATTGTGTAAGGCACCGCAGATGTAAACCTGTCATTAACAGGTTGTAACATCTGCAGAACAGTGTCAGGCGGAGGCAAGCCAAATGAGCCATAGCTCACAGACCATTTGAATCCAGATGAGTTTTATTCTGGAGGGTAAATATTTGTTTTAGAGGAAGAATTCACACAGTACATGCCAAAAATCAAGGCCATGTATTGTATCACACAACAATACTGCTTTCAGTTCCTGCACATGTCCTTTAGCTTTGAGGCTAGTTTTGTTACTGTGGCAATAGATCATACTGTATTTAGTGGGATGTGAAACCGGGACAGTTTCCTGATATGTTGCCATGTGTGTTTAAGCCAAACCTTGTCGCTGAGGATGTTCGGATCAAATCGAATGACTGTTATTGTGTCAGCCGTCCTGGGGTGAAGTCATCAGAGCACCCTGTAGCTTTGGATCTTGTAATCTGTCGTGTTACATCAGCTTGACCCAAAAACAAACAGCCTAAAATGATGACTGTATTTTTTTGTTTGTTTGGTTATTGAGAGGAGATTGCTTCTGTTGGTATGAAGTCTGAATTTGTGCAATCCAATCACTCCTGCTCTCAGTCTCTTTTTCCTCCATGCTGAGTAATGCAGACAGCTGCGGTCTGGCATGCATTTCCTGAACTATTCTTTCTGATGTTGTCTTGAAGTTTCATATAAATTATTTTTGGCAGTCCACTCCTTTCCTTCCTCTTTAAACTGGAATATACAATATTTTGATACTTCAGTGAGGTTTTGATCTGAGTTTTGTTTTGTGTTGTGATTTAATCTGTATGGGTGTTGTGGTCTTCAGTTAATGACTAGCCTGTAGTTGTTCTGTGCTATCTCATCTTCAGCATCATTAGCAGTGCTGCGATTAGCCTGGCATGTGTGCACATTTAGTCTTCAGAGGGATTTCTCTATTGTTGCCATAAGGTAGTAATAACATCAGGAGTATTTAGCTACAAAATGCCATGAGGGGATGTGTGAAAGTTGTGTAAAATCTGCTAAAGCATGGTAGCTCTTTTCATCTGGCTCTTCTCCCACTTAAAGCAACATTTATTCATCAGTGTAATTAGGTTTTCATAGATGGTTTAAATGTCACTTAGGTGCCGGAGCAGCTATGAAGACAAACCCCACTGCTGTGAAGGGGTTAAAAACAAACTATAACAAAGAACCATTCACTCGCAGCTTTTTGTATCCATGGCTACAAGTTATTCACTGTGCCACAATGTTTAACAGCATTTCTGCACCGTCACGCTTTGGAGTGTAGAGAAAACAGATTTATGAACAGTACTGGCTGCTCTGAATTTACAGTCCTTTAAGTTTCTTTAAGGAAATTTCTAATTGCAAGCAAAAATGTAAGCGATAACCAACTGCTTGGAGTATCTGGAGTGTCTTGATATTGTGGAAGAATCTCTCTCTGATGCCCAGTGTTTAGAGTTAAGTGGAAGGCCTCTTTGTCAGACAGATGTGAATGATAAAAACAGCCTTCTTTGGGACCTCAGTGCCCATATTGACTAATAGGATCCATGCAACCGCAGAGGAAGCTGGTTCTGGGGCAGAACACCACACATGAAAGCTTTCATCCTCTGGGCCTCGCCATTAACAGCTCACTTCCTCTGATAACTGTACTGGGTCCCTGGACTGTCAGTCAGCATGGAAATCAAACATTTTTTTATCCAGTTTGAACCACCAACAAGGTTGTGATTTGCAAATTTTAAATACAGTTGCATTAAATCCACCTGTCTGCTACTCTGCTTGCCATGTGTTTTGAGCTGTACTTTTCCATAGTGTTCCACAGTGGCATTTATCGCTGCTGGCCGCTGCTGGGGAACGGAATGAGACCAAAAAATGTGCTGTTTCTGCACAAACTGATGTAATTGGAATTGCCAGCCAAACTGTTTGGACAGGAGGGACCAACTGTAATCGATGAGTGAGAGGCAAAGAGTGACAGGTCTTTCATCTACAGTTCTTTGCTCCATTAATTCTTATTTACTGAGACACAAGCCAGAAATAATATCAGTAAATGGGAAGAAAATAACAGGAAGTCCATATTATTATAAAGGACGATTACATTACAGACCCTAATGCAATTTTGGCTTGTCTGCAGAACACAATCAGGCTCAGGATTGACCCAGTGAACAATATCACCACAAGAGAGGAGAACATGGGGCGTTTTCTTCAGTGTGAATGCCTCTGTGAATGGTACAGTGTTAAATGCAGGTGGTGCTCTAGGTGGAGTTATCCTTCTCATGTTCAAACATGTTGGAACAATTCTGCTAACTCCCTTCTTTGGAGAGAGGAGTTGCTTTTCCAAGCACTAAACACACAGTGGGTTAATATGCTGTAATAGCCATCATTACCACTGTAACTCATAGCTGGTGCTTATTAAAGAATCCTATGCAGTTCATATTGTAGAGTAATTTAGTGGTATCAGTAGCTGATTGGATGATAATTCCTGCAGTTAAAACAGACTACTTCTTCTTTATATTCCCAGAACTGAACTGTGGATCTTCTGATTGGACTTTGGATTTATTTTATTCTATATTCATCCTGTGGGACGAGGGTAGTCCCACTGAATCTCTTTTCCAAAGTAAAGTAGGATAAAGAATCTACATCAGGCCAAGAACAGAAGCTGTAAAACAGTCCTAAAATATTCACTTTAAAGGGAAAGTGGAGGCAAATCAATGTGTAAACTGTAAATAAATTTAAAATGTAATAAAAGAGGGAATATCTTAAAAAGTTCTTAATAAGCACTTCAAAAGGCAGTGGGCCTCCATCAAAGCAAACTGTACTGTGATGATGTCTCAGAGGACGGTGGCTGACTGCCTGGCTGCTGTGTCTGCCTTTGTCTGCTGCTCTGTGACCTAAATAGGCAGCCATGCATGGTCTAATGGCAGACAAACATCAGGGGGGGTCAGTAAATAACACCTCCAGCTTTTCTTTGTTTGTAGGCCACAGTTGTTGCACACCTCCCGACATGAATAACACACTTATTCCTGAATGAACATCCACTCCCTCAGCGACCCAAGCACTGACTCAACAGGGTAGGAACGGATAACATGCTGTAGCTGCACTGTGAAGTAGCTCCAGTCAAAACTTGTCTGAAATTTGATGTCTTCTTGGAAAAAGCTTATGGTATTTAGTATTTAGCTTTTTTTTAACAGCGTGGTCCGCCACTTTGATCCAGACTGAAATATTTCTACAGCTACTGGATAGATTTCTATGAAATTGTATACAAGCATTCATGACCTTTGGCCTGACTCCCCTATGAGGTTCACATTTTGTTTTTCAGTCGTGTCTTGAAAACTATTTGCTGGATTCCCAAGAAATTTGGTACAGACATTCTTTTTTCCCCCTCAGAATTTGCTATATTCACTTTGATCCTCTGCTCATATAATCAACAAATGTTAGCATGCTAACATGATACACTAACTGGTGAGCACAGTAAATATTATGCCAGTGAAACATCTGCATTTTAACATCATCAATGTGAGCTTGTTGACATGCTAGTGTATGTGTATGTATCAAAGCATACCTAAGCACAGAGCCGCGAGCGAGCATAGAAATACAGCACCCTAAACTTTGCTCACTCGATGATGCAACTGATAAAATTTGGGTTTTTATCATTGAGTGAACAATATTTAAATCTGTTGAGATAAAATGTGAATTTAGGCCCTAGAACACTTCCATTATCTTTACAGTGGGAGTAATATAGAATGAGGATATGACTTCCAGGTATAGAGACTGAAACCATGATAATTCACATTGTGCTGATCTGACTTATTTCTACACCGATTGAATGGCTGATACAGCGTATTATTGTAATGTTTGGGATTTGCTCCTCCCTCCTGCTGGTGGTTGTCAGGACTAAGTGCAGATCAAAGTGGTGCTCTAGTATAGGATCAGGGCCAGAGCTGGGCCATGTTGATGCTCACTTTGGGTTTATTTTAGTTCACCCTCTGGGTGGGGAACTCCAAATATTATGAAAGGAGGAAGTTGAGCAAGGTCCCCGACCAGCAGTCTGTGTGTTTCTGCTCACCCTGGGCCCTCATTAGAAGCACATGTGGGCAAGACGCAGAGCCTTGTCTTCCACTGTACCTGCCTGCCTATCTGGCAGGATTCCTGGAAGTGTGGCAGTATGGCCTGTGTGTGCCCCATGCAAGGGGTCAGCTCTAGTGAGGGGGGTCAGGCAGAGAGACTGGCAGTAATTTTTCCTAAAGCCCAAGAGGATTACTTTGAGGGAGGAAATTCAAGTCAAGCTGTTACAGCAGTAATGACTCATGACAGTCTCGCCTCCCACATAGCAGGACTGAAAGGACATTTTTCGCCAAACCCCAGATTCTTATTACAATCATAAAAAATGATGATAAAAATGTCTGACTAGATACCATTTCTTACATAGCTTATTCCTGACATAGCTCCCGTGAGGGGATGGTCTGACACGAGAGCCAAATTCCACATAATAAGTCACCTAACACAGACTGTCAGCAAGCACGACTTTATTGCCATCCTTGCTGAAAGGTGCTGTTAACTTAACAATAGCAGCTTTTACAGTGCAAAGTGGCATCACAATGATTTCTCTGACCAGGAAGGAAAATAAAAGGTCAGATCAGATTGTTCTTTTGTAGCTGCCACAAGCTTTCTCAATAGAGGCAGAGCTCCCTGTTTAATTACAGCATTACAGCATGCTGTTACATAACACTTTTGTGTTTGTTTGTTTGACTCAAAGCGGACCATAATGGTGCATTTTTCTGTGTTCAGACACTTGAAAAGAGCAGCTTTTATTCAGGCTCCTCTTTACGTTGCCCCGGAGACAAATAACCGTTGAACATCATCGCTGCAGAAATGCCCCTACTCACTAAAACAGATACAACCCGCCCTCCCTCCCACGCACCACACTGTATTCAAGCCCAGTGAAGTGGACCATTAACGATGCACTTTTCTGATTTTCCAGGAGACACAAGTGTGCGTGTGCACGGTGCATCTATGTGAGGTCCAACAGTTCACGCCTGACACTTTAAATCACCCAGGGTTGGAGGATATCTCTGCAAAGAATCATTCTCTAACTGTTTCTCTCTATATTTTAACAAAATTGTCAACAGATTTACTTTATAAAGAGACTTGATCTGTGTAAGATTAAACCTGTGTTCTGCTTTTGTTTTTATCCAAAGGGAACCAAAGAGTGTCAGTGAGCAGTCTGCTGGTCTGTCATGGTCTGCTTCTGGTAGGGACCAACCTGGGGGTGACTGTGGCTCTCTCTGTCCCCAGACTGCAGGGGATCCCCAAGGTCACAGGTAACACGGAAACATCACTGTATCACATTTCCAAACGTACTTACATATAGGGCTCCAAACTAATCACTATTTTAATTAACAATTTCCCTCAGAATGACAGAAATTGTCTGCTATGTCTTGCCATAAGTTCAAGCCCACAGGTGTTCAAACAGAGGAAACTAGCAAATCCTCACATTTTAGAATGAAAACCAGGAAATATTCGGCATTTTTAGTTGACAAAAGCATAAACAATAATTTTTCTCTGTTGATCATCAATTAGATTCATTATAAATTTCCATGTAATGCTGACCTTTGTAGAGGAGACCCATCCTTGACTGCTTTACTCTTCCTCGTTACTAAGAAGGTTAATAGAGTTTTCTTTGCCCTGGAGATGTTCTCACATTATTCTTAGTGAGACTGAATTATATTGTATGGTTATTTGCAGAAAAAAGAGGCAAATCAGACATTAGATAAAGTTGCAAGTTATTAGTTTCACTTCTCAGACATCAGTTTGTGAAACAAACAGGATGAATACTTATTTCGCTGTACTTGTCAGGACGGGGCATGGTGTCCTTACACGCTCACTGCGGACCAGTCAAGTTCCTCACTGTGGCTGCTGCAGTGTGTAACCGGCCCTCTGGCCTGCCCTCCTCCACCCCTCCCACCTCGGTCCAGCCAACAGACACAGAGGATGTGGAGAGCACCCAGCTGCCCTCAGATTCAGCCCTGACTCCTCCTCAGGGACGAGGCGTGTGGTTGGGGGAGGCAGGCTGCACCACCATGGCTCTCCAGGACTCCGTGTCCTCCTCATCCTGCGGCTCACTAGCTCCATCCCAGGGCTCCTTGGAGCACGGGCCCGAGGACGGGGCTCTTTATGACATGCTCCATGACCCGGCCCACCACCAGAGGGGCCGCCGCTCAAGCAAGGTGGACGTCAGCTCTCTGCTGGTGGTGTCCGGAGGTTTGGGTCACCGCAGGGTGAACAAAAAGACCAAACAGTCTCGCCATGAGGACACCACCTCCACTATCATGATCTGGCAGATTCCCCTACTTAACATGTGACACCAAAAACACCTTGATAGGTTAGTAAAATAACATTTTACTAATTACAATTACAAAATTTTATTACATACATGTGAGATTTAACCTTTTTTTCTGTCTTTCTTTCAGGTTAAAACAGAAGTGCTACACACAATTCACACAAGGAGATCTGGTGTTACACTTCACAGAATATTTGAGATGAATCAAAAACAACTAAATGTGTTATTTAAACCAGAACTGCATCAAGCATTATTTCCACAATGTTTCTAATGATGTCTCCTACCATAAAAGAACGAAGGGTCGATAAAACCACTCAATCGTGATGCTTGATGGTGCAAACACCAGCCTACAGACCAGTCAAAGGATATACTGTACTTGTTAAGGATGTATTCATTCGGAAACAATGAAAGGTCTTTAATTTCACCATCCGATAAAGTTGATGGTTGTTCTGTAACATGGTTAATACATTTCATTACTCTCCAGTGTTTGTGCCATACCAGTGGACTGTATAGGACTGCAGTATTTAAATCAGTGTTGAAAAGAAACAAAATTGTCTTGCTTGAAAGGCGTGTAAGGTAACGACTGGGCTTTGAAACTGTTACATAAACGTTTCTTGTAAGATTAGGATTAGGTTTTTGCCGGACTTTAGATCATCTGTCAAGGCCAGAGTTGTAAATATGAAGTATGACAACTCAGGATTACATGTGTTGGAGTTTAGGGGTCAGAGTTTATATGGAATCAGATCCTTTTACTATTGGACCAGCTTGTGCAGTGCTCCAACTATTTTGTTAACAGAGCAAAGGGATAAAAAATGTCAATGACTGAATTAGTTTGAGAAGGCTTGAGGAGAATCCCTGGCTGGCCAGGTTTCTATTCATAAAGGGAAGAAAGAGTTGTTATCACCACAAGAGGTTTTTTTTTTTTTTTTCCCCTAATGCATCTTTGTTTCACACATAACGATATTTAAAAGAAAAAAGACAAAAAGCTTTATACATTTGTCACATTTTGTCTGTACGTCTGTTATGTATTTTAACAAATCCATAAACATTGTTTTATTGAGCAAACTTGTGTATTTCATGCATGCATTTCTGTGAGCTTTAGTGAGCATGTTTATCCAGAATACGTCAACCACGTGGCAGCTTTTCTGCAGTTTGGGAAAGTTCAAAGCCAAACAAAATAATGAGAAGGTGCTGATTTTTATCATATTCAAAACAAGTGGCAGTATTGGGACATAAAAGAAGGAGGAAACGGTGTCAGTGTGCCTATTTTTCTTGACTCTAAAGTAACCTTGTACTTCTGTTCCACTCAAACTGTGTGCAGCCATCAGTACATGCAGGGACTAGCAATGTGCCTGAGGGGCCGCAGGAACTGAGCCTGATACAGCTCTTCCTGGATTTCACTGCTCATTTCTCCCACTGCCGAACAGAGAGGGTCAAGACATTTTCTCTCTTATAACGCCCACGTCCACTGTTGCGCAACCATGTTTCACTATATTGTCAGTTCTAACAAAAATAGATGAGATGACTCCAAGTTGGAGTTTTTCCCATGCTACAATCCACAGCACCCTAGGATGATCCTAAATATTATCTGATCTGATTTTTTTTTTTTTTTGGTAGTATCTACCTGAGATAATCTTTAACTTCTGTAACTAAATACTGCCTTGTATTTATTAACTAGGAGTAGAAGATGGCTACGCCTCAGTCTCGGTCTCAGCAAGTAACCCAGTTATCAGTTTGTTTGGCTGGGTGTTGCCATTTCTCGCATATCAAGAGAACTCTGTGACTGGAAATCTTTTGTTTTCCCTCTGACCCTGAGGTTTCCATGGAGATACACATTTTGTGTGTGTGTGTGTATCAGTCCTCAGCGAGTCTTTGTTCTCAGAATATCTGGCATTAAAACCTCCCAGCTGAATGCTGTCTAATCTCACAGGGCTGATAGTTGTGTGATGCCCTCGCAGTGGCTGCCCTCTATTTTTGTATTTGAAGACCGGTTGTTAAGACGCACAGTCTCCGCAGAGGGAAGGTTACAGACCCTGGATAAAAACGCCTGCTACTGCAGCTGCTGCCCTTTTGAGGATGTGCCTTTTCCCATGTTGAGTGTACGTGTCTCACATGCTTCTTGTGTCACTGGAGTGACACGCGTGCCCATGACATTTCCACTTCTAAGGTTACTTTTCCATACAAATCACATGCTTACTTTTACTACACAGACATACAGTACATTATGCTTCACCCTGATTGTTTCGGACTGTATCTCCCATTGAACTCAGATTGATCAGACAGTTTTTGATCACTACAAGAAGGAAAGTGTGTCTCACATTGGTAGAGCATTGTTAAGTTTTGTGTCAAACTTGCCTCAAGTAGACACATGCAGTTTATTTCATGGAAAGGTTCGGTCAGCTCTACAGACATTGTGATAAACTCTCATCTCATGCACAAACAGGTGGTGTATACTAATGGACCATTTATTGATTTTTTTTTTAAGTGTTACTGCAATACAAAATACATATGAAGGCGATGGAGTGTCGTTCATTTTATTATAATATGCATTAGTAGTAAGGTAATATTCCAATAGGCATTGGATTTTATACGGGTTATTTAAATGAAGGGTCACACATTTTTTTTTATGATAAAATAAAAAGTTTCTGACTGGGATTGCTATATGCTATAGACTATATGTGTGTACAGGCATGAAAGGAGGGAGGGATTTCCCATATATCCCATTCCATGCCCCCCCCCCTAACCCCCACCCCCTACTCTCCACCCATCCATCGTGGTACCCAGGATAGGGATGATGCGTAAAGGAATGTCGCATCTCTTGGATGCGTCCAGCGCGAGGACAACAGATGGAGCCTCGTGCTGTTGAGAGTAGGGTTAATACCGACTGAATGGGGCGTGGTTTAGATCAATAATAACCGCCTCACTGTAGTCATCTGTTGAAAAAAAAAAAAAAAAAAAAGAAGAAGAAAAGAACAAAAATCAGTGTCCTGAGAGCTGAGAGCTAGTATCTCTGCTGTCCACGCTGGACAGCTCTAGTTTCCTGGAGGAAAGGAAGCTGGATGTGCGCAGCAGCTCTCCTCAGCTTCCACCGGAGGAAATTACTTGGCGACGGCTGATCTGAAGGAGGTGGTGCGACCTGAAATGACTGTTTGATCGTCCCCCTGCCGCGCCTCCAGCACGGAGCCCGGGGAGATTTCATTGCAGGAGCGGATGAAAGCAACAGTCCAAGAGACTCGCTGGAGCAAAGGTGAACGGATGGAATAAACAAGCTGGAAATTGTCGGTGAAGTAAAGTCATCCAGGGGAGCACAGTCTGGCTGCTTCATCAGGATTGCGACTGCCTTACGTAACTGAGCTTTGTGGAGGGACTGGCAGGGAAACTGCTGGTGCCGAGTTGTTTAATCACAGCGAGGAAACGCAGGTAGGTCACACTAAACTGCTAATGGAGAGAAATCCTTCTGTGTAGATTCTAATGTGGCTGAAATTACAATCAAACACCTCATTTTCCTTTATGACTCGACTGAATCAACTGTTTTCTCATTGTTTGATCGATACGGTCGGGGAATGCGTTAGACATCAGTTTTCGGTATATAATTACAACCGCCCTTTGCCCGTGATATTAGAGATTAATTCCCCCCCCCATCAGCGCGACACCGTGTGCGCATGCGTATGGAATATCTCCAGATTATCACAAATAACGGACAGGCAGGGTGATGGTTGCAGTAGGTCGTGCAGTTTTACAGCCTCAAGAAACTGCATGTTGGCATTACTTAGATTTCAAGGGTCAGACAAAGATGCACTAAAAACGTTGCGCTGCTTCAATGTATTGACTGAAATAATGGCACGTACAGGAATGTATTTCACATCATAGTTGGCAATGGCAGAACAAAGTAATATTTTCCTTTAAATTTCACGGGTTCCATGCTGTTTTTACCAGAGAAATGGCGCCCCTTAGAGAATAAAGAAGTCTTTGCAGCCTCAAGAGTCATTTCTCCCACCTCTGTTTAGTCTTGGTTAAATTCTCCTTGTTTTCCCCCCTGTAGGTGAAGAGAGAGGAGTACAGTCACAAGTTTTTCTATCCACTCAGCATGATCGGTGAAGACGCCGTCTCCCATCACCAGTGAGCACATCAGCATGAATGAGGGCCGCAGGCAAGGCGGAGGGACCATCACTGTGGAGGCTGATGTCATCCTCCACGCTGTGAACCCTGACCTTGTCACTCCTCCCGACAAAGACGGGAATTTATGTCCAGGTTATGTTAAGGGATTCCTGCAGGATGACAAGGATTTCAGCCCTCCTCCAGTGTTTGAGAAGGAATACCTGTTGGATGGAAGACTGATGGAGAATAATCATATCGATCATCAGAAAGGTAACGGCTCGTACATCTCAAGAGCTGATCAGTTCCACCTCTCCAATGATAAGGGAGCGCTAGATCTCCCTCTTCATACTGACTCCACTGTGTCCAATCACATCGCTGGCATGCAACAAAATTGTACAAGCAGTGAAATCCACAATGGCGCCAGAGCTAAAGTGTCTTACGGTGCAGATTCCTCTGTATGCTTGTCTAGCCAAGCCAAACAGGAAACTGATCGGTCAATCTTAAAATCGAACCTCAGCCAGGAAGCTGAAAACCCACAGGCTAAAAAAGAGCCTGATTTAGTCATCGAAGTGGGCGGGCAGACGATCAGCGCTCACAAGTCTGTCCTGGCAGAGAAGAGCGACTACTTCAAAGCACGGCTGTCACGGGATATCCTGAAAGTGAAGGGAGTGAGCTACAAGACTTTGTCTACACTGATAGACTATGTTTACACTTCCCAGATGAATGTTGGCAAGGACAACGTTGTGGACGTCATCACGGGCGCTAAAATCCTTCAGATCCCCTGTGCCGTCCAGGCGGCCATGGACTCCATGTCTGAACAAATCCGTGCAGAGAACTGCTACGAGATTCTGACCATCGCCAAAAAGCAGCGACTGAGCGAACTGAAGGAGACGGCCTACGGCTTCATGAGTGACAATTTCCTCCAGATCCTCAAAGACCCCGCCGTGTATGGCCGTCTGACTGGGTCTGAGAGGGATCTGATCCTGAAGAAGAGAATGGAGGGGAGGAAGACTCTGATGGTCGCGGAGATAAATGATGTGTTCGATCGAGTTGGGAGCCGGCCGCCGAGCCGCTGTGGCAGCCGACCGCAGAGCCCCTTGTCGGTGGGGTCTTTAGAAGAGAACCATATGATTTACCACTTTAACGAAACAGCAAATGACTGGAGACCTCTGACTGCGATGCCTGAGGACATAAACACTAAAGGGTGCGGGATCTGCACCATGTATAATTACCTGTTTGTGGCAGGGGGAATAAAGGGCTACGGGGACAAGGGCAAGGTTTCCGACAAAGTCTTCTGTTACAACCCCATAACCAACCGCTGGGCTGAGGTCAGACCTCTGAACCAGGCTCGTGCCCAGCTAAAGCTTGTGTCTATGGATGGCTACTTGTACGCCATTGGAGGGGAGTGTTTGTTTACAGTGGAAAAATATGACCCTCGCATGGACCGCTGGACCACGGTGGCCCCCTTGCCCAAGGGAGCCTTCGCGGTGGCCCACGAAGCCACCACCTGCAGTGGAGAACTTTATGTTTCAGGCGGCTCCCTCTTCTACCGCCTTCTTAAGTACGACCCCAAGAGGGACGAGTGGCAGGAGTGCCCCTACAACAACAGCAGGAAGAAGTCCACCGACATGGTGGCTTTCAAAAGCTTCATCTACCGCTTTGACGTCAACCGTGAGCAGGGCATTAACGTTTTCAAATACAACACCATAGTGAAAATGTGGCATGATTGCGCTTCACAGAGGCTTGGAAGTCATTTACCCTTCAGGTGTGCTGTTATCGGGAACTGCATCTACTGTGTGAACAAAGCCCAGACTCTCCAGTTTGTAGTGGAGGAGGAGAACGCCTACTTTGTTGAAGAGACGCTCAGGGCGCCTCTGGAGGCCAAAGGCGTTCTTTTCCCTTTTGTTCTCACTTTGCCTGAAAAGCCCGAGAAAGTTACATAGTGTGTGTGTGCACGTGTGTGTGTGTGTGTGTGTGTGAGAGAGAGATCCAGAATAACACACTCCATGGGTCATAGCAAAACTGGAATAAGCAGACCTTATATACACTCTTCAATGTCAGCTTTCTATCTCAGTGTCTCATTGCCTGCTTGCAATGGAATGTGTGTATTTGCATGGCAATTTAATGCGTCTACAGGGTTAAGCCTTAAAAATAAAACTTTTTCTTTAGTGTTGAATGAATGCAACCATACTTGTAACTGACTATAGATGATGACATGATGAAAGTGACTGTGGATCATTTTGTGTATTTCCTGTGTTCAGTTTCGTTTGGTGCAATTTTGTAGTTAGAATAGAAATTATTTAGAACATATTAACTAGTTTACTGGTGACTTTGGTAACAAAAACAAGTGTTTTGTTGAAAATTGTACAAAAAAACCCGTATGGAAGCAGTTATAGTGCGCTTTATGAACGATGCAACACAGGTTCTATGCAAATGAAACAGAATATACAGGTGGGTCTGCTGTAATGCTGTGCTATTTAGTAGAAACAATGAAATGAGTAGGAGTACAATATTTCTCAAACCCTGACCTACATCGCCTTTGATTAATCCTGTGAAATATTGTCACATTATGATCAGTAAAAAAAAAAAAAGAAACTACTGTATCCGTCTTTTAAGCCACACAAATATTCATCCTGGCTAAGCAGTTATGGAACTCATAGTACCTAATCGTAATTCAGGGGACCTTATCAGTCAATGCAACTCTGCATTTCCACACTACAATACATGAACTACATTTATTTTTAGATTCAGAATATGCTATTTTGCTTATAGTGCCTACTCACGGTTGTAACAGGTCCTACATTTAGTACATTTGCCAAAGATGCATAATAATTCTGTCAGGCTATAATAAATCTATCAAACTTACATATAGTGTATTTTCACATCTTTTGTGGGTTAAGTTCTTAATGAAAGGCATTCTTTAGACGTCACCCCAGTCGAGTCAAAAAGTAAAGCAGTAGTTGTTTTTGTAGGAGGAAGGGCATCGTGTTTGCTGCTAACAGGTGTTTTCTGGAAGGTTTAACCCAGTCCTGCAGATTACACAGAGAAGCTGTTTAATCTCACCTTCCCTGTATGTGTTTCAGAGTAACAGCCTGCTCACCTGTTACCAGGTTACTTCCCTGGTGAGGGCTCATCCCTTTAAAGTCAAACATCAACTGAGACCACTGTGCTTCATTTCAGGTCATGGCCCTCACTGCTTCAACGAAGAAGTTTTATGACACTAATTAACCATGTTCTTCTTGCATCAGTGCACATTAGTACCAATTCTGCTCTAAATTTCCTTCTTTTAGACATTTCACAGTACTTGTTTGCAGCTGCAATAACACAGCGGGAGTTTTGTATGGAAGCTAATGCTGATTTATTCTTGGAACAAATTGCTTTTGATAATATTTGTAGAAGTGTCTCCATGGAAGTCAATGTGACTCAGACAAAATGGATGTGGTTTTGATATTTTGGCTGGCTGGCTGGCATCTGTATTTTTGCGAATTCTTTTATGTAAGGACTTGGTAGTTTTGGATCTGCTGCTGTGATGGACAGTAAAGTAATGCAACGCTAAAGGCTTCCTGTTCATGGCATATGGAGTGGGCTAACAAATAAGCTGTTGGATAATGTTTATCGGTCAGAATTAAGTGCTTCAAATAAAATATTTTGTGTCTGAAAATGATCTGGTTTTCTGAATATGTGTGGAGCATGATGGTGACATGCTGCTTTGTTTTGGCAGGTCTGTCACGCATGGAACTGACCTGCCATCTAGTGGGCACTGACTATAACAGCACAAAGTAATACTGCTGCACAAACATTAGCTCATGGCCAACAAAGCATATAAGAACTAATGTGACTGTGTTTTCCTTGCCAATGAATGTACAGTAATTGTTGTAATATTCAGAGTATAACATGAAGGGAAATTCCATGTCAGTAGGCTGAGTGAGTTTACACCATTGTGAACATCATTATAGCAAATCCAGCTTTTGATCATTGTGTTATTTCATTTGTCACATACTTCTCGTTGCTGCCCGTGAAATATTTTTGAAAAAACACCCTCAGGGAAAATCTGGCAACATGCAGTGGTTGCTTGTTTAAACCAGGTTTTTCCAGCCCAACTATGAGTGTATTCACAAGCACCTCAAAACATTTAAGAGGTTCATTTACTGTATTTTTCTTGCAAATAACTAAAAAATAAATGTTGTAATAATTATTAGCTAGTATTAGCTTAAGGGGAAATCTGTGAGTTGAGTTTAAGCCATTCTAAACACCATACAGGCAAAAAACTTTTTTTTTTCAGCCAGAACAGTTATGAGTGATGCAGGAGCTCTTAATTACAAGCCAATCACATCCATCATCAGCGGATCAAGAGTCAAGTGCTTAATATGAGAGAAAATGAAATGCTGATTGAAGCCCATTTCCACCACCATCTTTTTTTTTTGATCTACAGAAAGTCAAACAAGGTAAAAAAAACCTTTAAATTCAAGTCGTCAGGGTAACAAGTTGTGTGGACTGCAGGTGAACAGAAGTCACAGGTTACAGTGAAACACAAATAAATAACACAACAGGACATCATCACAGACATGGCCATGGTATAATTAGCTGTGCTTACATGTACTTTATATTATTTCTGTTTCCACAACAACAACAAAAGGGCAGACATGTTGACTGCTGTGTTGAACAAAGTTGAGTGTTGTCGTCCCAACACTGTAAATGGTTTTGTTGTTAGAACAAGATGCATGAGGACTTTTTCTATTCCTCCCTCTGTGAAAGGGTTAAGTATTTAAATGTATTTTAAAGTGAAACCACGTAACTTTTTGCTAAACAGCAGCTACAGTTGGCAACTCCAAGATAGTTGCACATTCATTTTCTTGGGTATGTTGCTTTAAATTCATCATTAGATGACCTGACTGAGCAATTGGAATGGGATCACAAGCAGGAAACAACAAACTTGTCTCCATGGTGAGTGTACTTTTTGTTTTACTTTAGTGTTCATAGTTTTACAGTAACACAGCTCTGATGCAATAATCAGTCAGTTTTACAACACTATCTTACTACTGGCAACTGGTCATACCAGTGCGTTTTATTCCCACTGAATTTCTTATCTGTAAGGGGAAGATTGTGTTTTTGAAATTTATAAAACTAGAAAATCTACAAAAAACAATTAATTTGACTTTAATGACATACATAGCAACAGTTGTTAGAAATAAGTCAAGTTGACCAATTTTTTTTGTCAAGTTTATTTTGTCTTTCATTCAGCCCACATCCCAACTTCAAGGCCAGTATCACTTATATGCATATATATATATATATATATACTGTACATATATACTATATATATATATATACACACACACACACACACATATGATTTTGAACCTATACCCAGACAGAAATGTATGTTGCAGGGGCATGTTGGTATTTTCAAAAGGATCACAGTGGAGTGTGAGTTTGATTGTTTCTCAAAGAAGACAACAGGGTTTGTGAGAGAGCAAGTCACACAGTAGAGAGCAACCTTCACAGGGTCCTAACAGTGGGAAGAAAAGCGACAGTTCTGCTTTCCTCAAAGACAGAAAAGCCTGATGGGAGATGAATTTCATCTCCTGCCAAAGGCTTCAAGACAACTACATGAAACACTCGTAAACTCCATACACATAAACCCACATGAGCAGCTTTCTGGTTTACTGCAGCAAAGAAATCTTCTCTCCTGCTCTATGCTTTGCTTTCATTTAGTTATGATTTTTTGCTGTTGTTTATACTGTCCAAGCTTATACTGTGCAAGTGCAAATTAGTTGAATATGAACAGAGTTGTACGAGATGAGTGTGTATTGTACGGGATTCCTATGCATGAATGAATTTGCACATTTTTATTCAAACAATGTAAGTGAATAGTGAGATGAGGGACTATTTCTTCCTACCACAGAGACAGTAGCAGGAGTATTGAGACAGAAAACTGAACAGTGAGGATAAATTAAAGGGTGGAAGTAGGTTTTATATACATTACATACATTGGCCTTTCCTTTTTAACACAGTACATCAACACATAATTTCACACCCACCCTTATTTAGTGAAGACATTGATACTGAAAGATATTTTTGGCATATTTTTTAGGTCTCCTTTTCTTCCCTGACATTTACATTAAATCACAGATTTTCATTCACATCTCACCTGCTGTAATATTCTACCTGGGTTAGAGAAAGCTTTCCAAATCCGACCTTCCCATCCCTCCGTAGTGATGCAATCACAGGAAAAGGAAAAGTATCTCAGTGAACATGTAAAAAAAACAAGCACACTTTCATGGAGGAATGGTTGTATTAACACATTGTAAAAACTACAACTTATATTTTTTGGCATAAATAACAATTACAGGTCATTAGGCCTTAGAGACTTAGATTATCATTTACAGTAAAAGTTGAAATTGTGCCAACAAATGAATAGGGTCTTTTATTTCAATGAAAGTGACTGAGTCCTCACTCATTATACTCTGTGACATTGTCAGTTTATTCATATAAACTTCCCAGCATTTATTACATTAAGAGTAAAATTCCCCGGAAATCATTATTTTTTCTATGAAAAAAGTTACATAATGGAGGCTGTTATTTATCCCACTTTAAATGGATTAATTTGATATTTTTGCCCATCAATCTGCACTCACTAACCCATAATAACCCATAAATGAAAAAAAAAGTATTTAGAGCATTAATTCAGCATTTGGTCAGTTTATCACAGTCTTCCTGGCAGATCCCATCTGTGAACTGCCATCTGCAAGTCTCTCCATAGATGTTTTATGGGATTTAAGCCTAGGCTTTGGCCGGGACAGTCAGAGACTTGTCCTGAAGCTTTGGGTCATTGTGGTGCGCAGAAGTGATCCAATCGCATCCACTTTGGAGCAGGTTTTCTTCAAGGATCTCTCTCTATTTGGCTGAACATTCTCTCTGTCCCTGCTGTTGAGAAGCACCCCCATAGGATGACGCTGCCCCCACCATTCACTGTAGGGATGGTATTAGTCAGGTGAGGAGCAGTGCCTGGTGTTCACCAGACAGGGTTTGGAGCTCTGCCCAAAGGATTCGAGACATGTCTCATCAGACCAGACAATCTTTTTTCTCATGCTCTCAGAGTCCTTTAAACTCCAAGCAGGCTGTCATATGCCTTTTGGTCAAAGTGGCTTTCATCTATTCACTCTACCATAAAGGTCTGTTAGAAGGAGTGCTGCTGAGATGGTTGTCCTTCTGGCAGGTTCTCCCATCTCTGCAGCTGAAGCTCTCTTATAGTGACTGTTGGGTTCTTGGTCACCTCACAAACGAAGGCCCTTCTTGGCCAGTTACTGAGTTTGTGCTACCAGAAACACTCAAAGCTTTAGAAAAGGTTTTACACTCTTTCCGTGATCAATGCCTCGACACAATTTTATAACTGAGATCGACGGAAAGTTCCTTGGACAAGTGGACTCAGTGAAGTTCTAGACACATCTCAATGATGATTAAAGCAAAGAGGATGCGCGTGACCATAATTTGGCCACAGCACTGAATACTTTTAAGAGAGTCCAGTTTTTGAGTTTTTGATTGAAAACTTTCACAAACATATTTGAATTGGTCATTGTGGTTTATTCAGTGTAGATAGATCGATGGCCAAATTGG